ATCTCTTAGTTGGTCAAGATTGAGTACATGGATCATTACCGAACGCAATTTTACCCTACACAATTGATCATTCGTTGTCTAACTGTCCAAATTGTTATATAACGACATCAAATTTTAGGAAATCGTTTTTGAGTTTTGTCCTATTATTTCCTGACTTAATATATGCAATGGATAATTGATTTTTAGGAAACCCATTCAATAATTGAAGAATTGAAGAAATCTTCTTTGGTCCCCTCTTTTTTTCCCTTGCTACTATTCTATTAAAAACGTATCCTTCTTTAAAATAAATATAACCAAAAACTTAGGCATGCATGGGTTTATTATAATCCACTTATAAAAAGGCAATGTTAATTAAAATATATATGTGCATATTGATATGGACCTCTTTAGGTAGACTTTTTGGGTATTGACTGAAAATTATGTACAGTTATATAGCTTGTTTTTTCAATAACTAATTTCGGGTTTTACTGATGCAACACCTTACTATTTGAGGAAAGCACATATTCAAGAGACACTAGTTTATGTTGAACATGTGTCGTATAGTTTTTTTTTTTATATCCAAACAGAATATTCATTTGGGTTTGATTAGTTGATATCATAGATTTTCATCTAATGATTTTAAAATTAGTTTATTTTATTGTAATGTGAAATTCACAACACCTAAAAAGAAAGATTCGAGTGACTTAAACTTTAAATTTTCCCTGTTGATGCATAATGTGGCAAATTTGAATAAAATAGTGTGACTGTGTAGTCGAACGAAAGGCAAATACACACCATCAAGTCATATCATTCAGACAAAGACGATTCTTCTTTATTTCAGTCTCATGTCCTTTGCACGGTTTGTTCTTCTCCCATAGCCTCAAGTTTTTTTTTTTCTTCTTATTTTGTCCTTTTCTACTTTTTTCCAATTTGCTTTTCTTAGTGTTTCCTTTTCTGATATTCTTTTAGTAATATTTTTCACTAGATCATTAACTATAAAAGTGTTTTTGACTCTTTCGTTGTTTTGGTCCCATCACTGACACTACCACCTGATATTGGCCTACCTTGATTTTTCAGTTCTTTACCAAAGAATTCCCTTAATTCTATTTTGTTAAGAAAATATAATTTTCGTAACTGTAATTTAATCTAAATAGTACATGCCATGTAAAATTTGTAGTATCTAAACATGCTCTTCTAACTAAAAAAAAACTATATATATATATATATAGCTTTTATCACATTTTTCCGAACATATAAATTATATAAATTATATATATGTAGCATTTTGTTAGATTTTTTTTTTTTGATAAACTCTACTTTTTTTGTTAGATTTTTTTTTTTGATAAATCCTATCGGCTAATCCGATCAGCTTCGGTAGCAACACACCGAAATGCTACAGATTACTCCCGCGGTTCAACGATTCAACGGACACCATGAGCTCCGAACGGACTCGGATCAAACGGGTCATGAGATTCATGAGATCCATGAGATCTATAATTAGGCCACCACACTACCTGATCCGAGTTTGGAGTGCCTCCCGACTTATGCCAGGGATAGTCATATCGCCTGCATTTCTGACTACCAGGTAAATCAATTGGACCAATGTCCAACTGACAGACTTCCCAAACAAATGTGTTTTTGTTTCTAAAGAGAATCGAATTCAGATTTGGGAGTTTTACCTTTTTCCAAAACTTTCTCTATCACTAGACCACAGATGCTTTGGCGAAAATCCAACGACCTCTTAAATACTATATGAGAATTCGAAATTCCACGATCTTCAAACTCCAAAAATCATCAACATATTAATTTATTGTTACACTGTTTTTTAATTAAAAAAATGGATGATGTCATGACGGTACAGCTGATTGGTGGATTTAGGATAAGCCAATCACCAAAGCTAAGTCTATTGTATCATCACACCTTTTACGATAATTTTTATAATTCCACACCTTTTGTTTTTATGAAAATTTTATAATTGTATACCCATTTTATACTTTGGTATTTTACGTTCGTACCTCTAAATAATTCTATCTAATTTGCCAAATGATCAAAAGGATACTCTTGAATAGGTTTTAAACTTTATATATATATATATATATATATATATATGCCTAACCTTTTATTAATTTTTGCGGTGTAAAATTGATCTCATGTTTATATAATCTTAACAAATATTGCAAAACTACAAAATATAAAATATTATATATATTGTGAAATAGTTAATTTATTATGTTAGTTAATTTATTATTTCTTAGTCACGGATACGTAGTCCACCATTTCTCTAATTTAATAGAAAGATATGGAGAAAGGCCAAATTAATATACTGAGATATTTGTAAATTAACTAAGGTCTTGCTCCACTAACCACTATCACTGCCAATTTTTACAACTATATATTGCCAGTCCTAATCATAATAGTTATGATTATGCTATTAATTTTGCTATTTCTCACAGAAAGTTTTAAATTTTCAAATAACCCACTTATCATTGCCTAACTGTGTTTTCCTTTGTTTATTTTAGTTTTTTGAGATCTTTTTAGTTTTGAAGAAACATTAGGGTGCTTAGGGTTTGTATCAAAGCCAGATATTACTATTTGAGTAGGAAGACGAACTAAGATAACAAGTTTACCCCATGAGATTAATTAGTCTGAATTTAGATTTACGTTAAAATTCTTAACTTGATAATCTTGTCTGGTTATTATTTGTTGAGAGTACGTAGTTGATTTGCATTTTGGTCTAGAAAGCTTAATGTCCCTCAAGGAGAAGAGAGAGAGAATCCTAAGAGACAAGAAGACAAAGTGGGAGAACGTCACTGAAGACTCGAGGGCAAATTTCAATCCAAAAATGATTGAGGTAATAATTATCAAATGAAACATTTCAAATGGTGTGATGAATTTGTTTTTGATGTGATGTTATTCACCCACTCCAACTACATTACGTTTTATTTTGATTTTCCTATACTTTTTTCATTGCAAACAGATCCACACCAATAAAGTTTGGAATTAAACGTCAACAAATGGTTAGTCTTTAAAAGATATAAATTCGAGGTCTAAAATGAGTGTTTTTAATAGAAATCATATGCTACGCCATTGGTAAGATTAATCTCATAAGAAGAAGATGGTGTTAAACATGAAATTTTCCGTAATTTTTTTATTTCAAATAAATTTTATAATTAAACTGTTCGTAATAGAATATTACCAATCGGAGCCATAACAACTGATGGTTAAAACTAAGATTTCATAGAGGAGCTTATATTTTTAGAAAGTTAAGAAAATTTCTGTGTGGAGTATTTGTTACAAGGAATGAGACAAGAGACATGATTATTGCATATGAGATGATAAGCAAATAGTGTTGAGCCAAATGGGTATCCAAGAGCCAGAAAAACAAAAATAAAAATATTCCACGATTATAAATAAAGAATTGAAAAAATAAATCGACACTCGATGTTTGAAGTTTGGCTCTTTAGAAATGTAGAGTCACTATAGAGAAAAGAGCCAGCCACTGCCAGTGAAAATGACTTTTAACTTTAGTTTTGTTTAACAATCTTATTGCTAATGGACTTTCGGTTCATATTTGAAGTAGTTAGTGAAAATGAAACATGAAAATAAGAAATCAATTAAAAATTATAACGGAGATAAATGTTCATTTTAAATCATATTCGATTAATGATCGGAAATATTTTCTAATCCGTTCGATTAAATTTTAACTATTTAGTAAAACTCTAACGGATGCGAAAAAAAAAAGATTATGTATAGGTGTCAAACAGTCCTGAGGCCCGAAGGCACGGCCTATATAATACCACGGCGAGGTGGGTTTGGACATTGTTTTTATGCCCATAAAATAGTGGGTTTCACGGATAAGCTCAAACGGATTACGGATTGCCTGCGGATTGGCGAATCAGCCCGCGAACTACAAATGTTTAATAAAATAAATAATTTTTACTTAATTATAAAAATTTAATATGTGATAATGTAAAAAAATTTAATTAATATAATTATAATATTTACGAAAAATTAATCTTAAAGATTATTTTAAATTTAAATTGTTAATTAAAATATTCAAAAATAATTTTATTTTTTGATTATTTCTAAAATATAAAAGTTAATCCCGCTGGCGAATCTGCTTAGCCGTTGGGCTTAGCGGGGGAGACCTGCACATACTTTTTTTTGTCCGCAATCATAACGAACGAGCCCTTAACGGTCTAACAAAAAAATGTCTATCGCGGATCGGTCCAGATGGATGTAGGCCGGCCCGTTTGACACATCTAGATATGGTTGTATGGATGCCGAAATTGCCAAATACACTTTCATGTGGCAAAAAATATGGAAACTGTCAAAAAATCCAAAAAAATATTAGAAATTCTATGAAAACCTGGTTTCAAAACATTAGGTTTACATATCCAACATTTATCAAATCTGGGTAATAGATAATGCTAATATAGATTGCAAAAAATCACAATCCTAATAAAACCAGAATCCGGCCCAAATTATCTCATTTAATATTGTTCTATATGTTTCAAACCATTAGTTTAACATATCCATGTTACTCGTACCCGATCTTTACCGTTCTATAGAAATTGGAGCTACCAAAATGAACAAACAATATTGAAATATATGTCACTTAGTTACTAAAGAATTTTTAATGTTTGTAGCATCCACAATAAATCCAAATTTCCACCAACTAAAACTAGGGTTTCTTTTAGTGGACTTAAAAGCCCGTACGTTTGGATTAGATCAGGTCCATATGACTATATGAGACCCACTCCGAGAAGACCACGTTAGACCGGACCAAATCCATCGGTTAAATATGTATTTGGTTAACCACAAGCTGGTCACAGACTCAAATGACTAACTCTGGAGTCTGGACCCTTATTGGCATCTGACATTTGATTACCCCTCGCAACAACATCATCGCTAATTGATTCTAATCCTAGATAACACAAACGGTAAAAAAAAAAAAAACATGAATGAGCTTTTCACTTTCTTTCACGTTTTATAGTAGAATTTTGTATCTTCCGCTGGTAAAGCAACAAAATCACATCGAAAAAATCATATTTAGAACTAATCAAAATCGGTTCGACAATTCCTCCATAAAAAAACTGTGACTGCAATTATCAGCGCAGTCTAATAAGAATAATGAACCTAAATAACTTGCAAAAAGATATGGCTCCAAATGTATTCTTCCTATTATCTAGAACCAATATACACATCATATCAACCAGTAACAGATCGTTACCGATGAGACATTACCGAAGACATAAAGCAAAATTACTTCTTCAACCCGGAACATCGACTCCCTTGCCAAACCGCTGCTACCGCGACTTCATGCTCTCCTATGCCTTTCATATTCCAGATCATCAGTAGGTAGCTCATACCGACAAACCGGGCATGTATTCCTTATCCCCAACCAAGGTATTATACATTCTCCATGATAGTAATGCTTACAAGGAAGCCTCTTAACTTTCTCCTTAACCACAACCTCATCTTTGCAGATCGCGCAAACGATGTTCCGATTGCTCAATTCTTCAATGGTAAAGTCCACATCAGGAAGATCATTTACTACACTTTTGGATGCAGGAGGACTTCCCATGGTTCCAGCTTCGTTATCAAACATTTGTCCTATAATAGCATTGTAATCTACATGATGTGCACTTATACTATCTAGCCAATACTCAATATCCAAATCCATAGGAGCAGATTCTGCCATGGTATCCCACAAGACATGAAACGCATCATTAATACTGGATGCTAAAGGAAATTCCATTACTTCTTCTTCCTCCAGACTAACTTGGACAGGTTCTGGAACCCAGTTAATCGCGTTATGCGAATTCTCCCATTCCAATTCTTCATCAACCACCATAGCTTCCTCTCCAAAGAGATTATACTCAACAGGAGTAAAACCCGTACCAGATTCGACCCGACCCGAATTCCAAACCCCACCTGAATCATCACGTAACTGACCCGACCCTGACCCTGAAGCTAACCCGATTCCAAGCCCTAATTCTACAACATCCTCCTCCCAAATATTGAAAAAACCTGAAGTACATGCCCTCTGATTCGAACTTAAACAAAACTCACGAACCGTGTCGACCTCGTACGACTCTCGATCGAAGAAATCGATGAATTCGGGTTCTGCATCCATAGAAGCCGATTCAGAATCTGAATTCGAGTCTAAAAATTTGAAATACGTATTGCAATCACCGAATTCTCTCTGATTGGACAAACTCATAGCTTCGCAATCCGGTTGGATAGCAGATCGAGAAACCTCCACGGATACTGAGCTACCACCACCGCCGCCGCCGCCGCCTTCTTCCTCTGCTTCAACGTTAATAGAACAACCGAAAAGTTTCGCTGACGACATTGTTGAGGTTCGTTTCATAGAGAAAAGGTCAAAAACACGGAGAAGGAAGGTGAAAAGATTCGTATCTATACATAAAAAGATTTTATATTATCATTATGACGTATTTCTATTTTACTTCCACTCGTGGGCTAAGATTATGCCACGTAATAACTACAATTTTTGGAAAAAAAAAAAAAAAAGATTACGCCGTTGCCGGGGATCGAACCCGGGTCACCCGCGTGACAGGCGGGAATACTTACCACTATACTACAACGACCTTTTGTTTCATTTCCTGTTTTATTAAAATATAAAGTATAGTTTCTGTTATAAAGGTTTTTTAGAGCTGAAAGCTCAAGTTGATGATCATCTGTATCATATTATCATATAACTAGATTTTAACCCGCGGGATGATTTAATTTTAAAGTTAGTATAAAAATATTTTGTAAATTGTATCTCCTTATAACATATTTATTTATATTATAGTTTACAATTGTTATTAAGTAACGGTATACCACGAGTCCACGAAACAATTATTAATAAACTGAGGATTTAACCCGTATTAAAGCGGTATATAAATATTGATTCAAATTCGGCCGCCATATAAATCTTTTCCGAAATATAACTCGTTCCGTAATTTCTTAACTCATCCCGTGATTTGTTTTTATTTTAAAATTTAATGATTATTTATTATATATAAAAGTTTACAAATCATATCATTCTCTAAGACATTTATATTTTAATAAACTGAAGATTTAATATATATGCGGCATGTTAATGATATTTAAATTTTTATAAATATTGTTATTAAGTAACATTATACTACAGGACAATTTTTGGTTTTATACAATCTTTTCTAAATGAGACTGATTTAATATGTCTAATATTAGTGGTATTAAAAAAATAAGGATTTAATCCGTATTGAAGTGGCGGATTAATAATATTTTAATCTTTTTATTATTGTTGATTCAAAAACCCGTCCCGCCAAACCCGTCCCGCCAAACCCGTCCCGCCAAAAAACTCATTTATTTTATTAATGTTGATCTTATTTATGATATGATTCTGAATCATTGTCTAAAACTCTAAATATTTTAATCGATGTAGAACGTTGAACACACATTTTCGTCAATTAGATAATATATGTGTATTTTTAAAATTTCGAATCACAGTATATGCAGAAAAAAAAATTATTTTTACTTTATGTATTATATGATGATTCAAAACAGTTAAAAACAAATCAAACAAAGATGATAGGAGAATCATAATTATAAATCTTAATCAAATCTTCTAAATATCTAAATTATTAAATATGGAATATCCAGTGTATGAGTTGGATTAAATATAACCCGACCCAACAAATTTTTTGTGAAGGATTTAAAAAAACGGGTCGAATATCCGATTAACCAGAAACATTTTTACCCACCCGTCACCAAAGTGTTGCAAAAATACTAGTATAGATGCCAAAGAAAAATAGAACTAATGATGAAAATTAAGAAAACAACAGATTGATATAAAAGTGTGGTGATGAAAAGTTACATATTACAAGGTTTTTTGAAATAGTCACTAACAAATCTGAAGAATCCATAGACTTATAAGTTGTTTGTTGAAGTCTGCAAAAATGCTGAAGTGCTTGGATCAAAAATGCAGAACTCTGATAACAAATGTAAAAAAAAAAAGAAAAGAGTATATCTTTTGCAAACAAAAATATAAAGCCTTGTGTAAACATTCGCCCTATGATGTTGAGGCAACATCCACTGTTGTCTTTTGGCGTTTAAGATCTGGCTCACCCTCAATGATATCTTCTTGGGGCTCTTCTTCTACTTCGGCTCCTGCTTCTTTATGATTGCCATTGAGATGACCGTTAACTGCTTCATGACCAAGAAGCGATACGTGTTTGCTTGTGATTGTACGACCAGCCCTTATCTTGGGACCCCAATGCTTCTCTGGGTTTGGTAGAAACCGGGCTACTTTCTTCGCCTGTGCTTTGCTAAGCGAACCGACGTGGCGCGAAAAGTCAGCCTGTCCGAAAGACAGTGTTTAGAGATTCAAGTTTGGAACTTTTAAATAGAGAATCAAGGAATGAACCGTTAACAAACAACAATGGATAGTAAAAGAGAGACCTGATGAGATGGTTCTTTAGATAGAATCACACTTCCGGGATGTTCAGGTGATTGCGGCTTTATGGGATGATTTTTCACCTACAATCAAACAAACGAGTTCATTCATTATCACTGAGGCAAAAGAAGACAGTCAAAGCTTATGCTTTTAGAATTAAATGAGGAAAGTTAATGAACGGAAACTGTTGGTTTACCCAGCACCGCATGATGTCCCAGATAATCTCCATTGGAGCATCAGTTTTAATCCCCAGCGGATTCACATGGGACCCAGAGACACGGTACTTTGCATTGATTACCGCTGATCGAAACAAAGCAGCTGACGGTGAAGTACATTTTAGCGTTGCAGAGAGACTATGAAGGCTCAAAAAGAGAGGAACATCTGGCAGTTCCTGGAGACAAGCCAAACATATAGGGATTTAGAGAAATTGACCCAAAACAAAAACTGAAACTTTCAGAGTGTGGAGGAGAGTTTTGCCTCTGAGATCGTGGTAAGAACAGCGCAAATTCGGTCGTAAGCAGGATATCTGTCTTTCATGGATTTAACACCGCTTAGTATCGAAGTCACCCATTCTTGATCGTGGATTGGAGCAGACCATATTGGTCCACCCATGTTATATTTCTTTCCACAATGAGTGCAATCCTGAGGAACAACAGGACCAACTCCTGGTAGATACCTCACACTGTTATTCTGTAAGAATTAGAGAAGAGGATTATCAGAAAAAGGCAGCTTTCAGAAACAAAGTAAACTAAGAATGCAAAGAGACAGACACAAAACCTTAGGGAGAGATCTTCCAACAGACTGAAGATGAAAGGAATCACAACCAATGCATTGGTAGACATATGAGAGCTTTAGTGGAGTGTTCTTCATTGCACTCGCCGAACTGCATTTCATAAAGCTTCAATCTTTACTTGTCTCTAGCTGAGAGGAACTGTTTGAAAAGAAAGGAAAACTCACGTGTAAACGCGGACAAAAACACGAACGTAGAAATCCATTTGAACCGACAGAACAGGAACAATATACCGCTTGTAGCGATTTGCATGGCTCTGCAAATAAAAAATAGACCAAAGTCAATAGGTCGAAAACAAGCTTTTAGAAAATAAATATCAGTAGAGCATCTTAAAAACAATCAAAGCCTGGAAGATTTGGCGAGAGTGAATCAATTCACGGTAGCAACAAATTACCTCGATGCTGGCGAGGAGGATCCTCAAAGCCATCTCATGACAATATTTCCCTTTCAGTGGATAAGAGCCATATCTAACAATAGACAGATATACGACATTCAGAAAAAATCAAAGATATTTGTTTTCAGAATAGGGGTAAAATCTCACTTGGAATAGCAGACCTCGCCGTTAGCCCCACATAACACTGCCATGTCAGTTGCTGTACACATCAGCAAACCACCATCGGCAACTGATTGAACAGCTGAATCAAGGAAAATAGACGGTGCACCATATGGGTCAAGATCAACCTAAGACATCAATGAACCAAATTAGTTAACAGAATAATGCGTTCAATAAGATGAAAAGCATTCAAATATTTTGACAAAATATTTTGCGAAAATTGGATGCTTACCACATCAAAATCTTTTGGGTGGCTGAGCATATGGACACGAGCATCAGTAAGATGTGACTCCACCTTTGAAGTAGACATCAAACCATTGAACTTAATGTTTCGCTGGCAGGCTTCAACAGATGCTTTAATAGGAAAACGGTGATACTATATTATCCTGGGAAGTTATGATAGAAGAAAAGTAGGGTTTCGAAACCTCTTAACAAGCACAAACGTTGGGAAGAAAATTTACCTGGGTCATTATCTAATGCCACAACTTGACCAATTCCTTCAACTTCACGAGCATACCTCAAAGCTCGTAACCCTGAAGCTGACAGGGCCTATATAATGATTAACACAAGAAAAAGTTATCGAATAGAAAAACATAATAAACAACGTAATAAGAAAACAAAAGTACAGCTTTTACAGTCATATAGGAAAGAAGATAGGTAAACCTCAAGCACTCTTGGTGGCTTGAGTTCCCTTCGTGCAGATTCATATGCGGTCTTGGCAGCTTCCTTTGGTCCATTCTGAGTTGTTACGTCGTGTTCTCCGTTGGTTTTACCATTATCCTCACCATTTTCAGTAGGATTTTCTTCCTTGGAATTTCCAGAGACATTCTTCTCAAGCACTTTCCCAGATGATCTAGCTCTTTTAGATAACATCGCCTCATGCTCTTGCTTGCGTTTGGATATAAATGCCCTTAGCACAGCAATAGACATGTCCCTATTGTTAACCTAACCATAAAGCAATAAGCAATTAGTTTAGCCTGCTCACACGTATATCCATATGGATTCACACAAGAGAACATATTTGCTAAGAAGGATTTGGGATCATTTGTCTTCAAATTTCTCACTCACACAATCATGACACTAATCTATCACAAAAAAAAAAAACACTAAATTTGAAATCTTAAACCAAGATAAAATGCCCCAAACTAATAATTCCTAAGATTGCCCTTGATGTAATTCAATCAATTTTCACCAAAAAGGAAGAACCTTTGCAGCAATTCAAAACCTATATGAACAAAAACGAAGGCAAAAATGAAAACCTGAGCTTTGTTGAAGAAGACTTGGTTCTTCTTGTGCATTAGAACCTCAGCTTCCCCTTCCTTAATCACAGTATAATCATCGAGATCTGTTTCCATTGCTGATCTCAGATTCTTCTCTTCAGGTGCAGAGGATTCACAAATTGAATTACAAACACGAATCTGTAACCCGAATGGCAAATCACAAAGCTTGAATCTATAGATATGTGAATAAAGATGTCGAAAGTGATCGACTTGTTTGAGTGAAGCTTGAATAAACCCTATCGCTTCTCCTTTGTTGCAGTTTCAGAGGTGAAAGAGGCCGTACAGGTTTGGAAGCAACGGAGTAGGCTAAGTTAAACCCTACAATCCATTGGAGAAATTTGTCATTTATTTAAATTTGGGATAAAAATTGATGATATCAAAAGATAAGGGGTCAAAATAAAAATTATCAAAAGAGGAGAGAAACAAAAAGTGGCCTATACAGGGATCGAACCTGTGACCTTCGCGTTATTAGCACGACGCTCTAACCAACTGAGCTAATAGGCCATTACTGTTAAATAAAAGATACAGTTTGTATTTATTCCAATGTTGTAAACTGAGGATATATCATTATCAAGTTTGAGGAGGAGGAGAGAAGGAAGAGCAGAGAACTCGAAAGGGAAGAAGACGATGCAGAGTTTAACGTCAAACGAAGTAGCGGGTTTGGCAGTTGGGGCTCTGCTTCTTGGTGCCACCATCGCTGCTCCTAAAGTTGATGCTTTTATCGCTGCTTCTCAGAGAAGGTAAACAAAAGCTTTTACAAGTTCATTTATCTCACCACACATATTTTTGGAAAAACACTCAAAATCCAACTTTTGCCCAATCTTTCATCTTCTGAATGAAAACCCTTGTCGTATAATATCCAATTTTGGATGAAACCGTGTTAATTTGTTTGTTGTTATGTGATAATGATGATGATTGTAGTAGCTGCTTAGAATTGCAATGTGATTTCTGAGCCAAGAGGGTTTGATTTGTATATTTTTTTCATCCTCAATTTGCTGAAAATCTGAAAATGACAAGACTTTAAGAGTTTCTTTGTGATTTGTAGTTTGAAAGGATAGATTTTGGTCTCACTCTCCAATGGAATCACTTTTCTTCTAAGTTCTCACTATGTGAAAGTAATGGTTTCCTGAAATTCTGTATTTGATTCTTGAAATATTCAGGTATTGAATCATTCTTGATCTTGATTATGGATTCTGTAAATCTTAGCTTTGTAATGAGAGAGACTGGTATAGGCATAGTCTCAGAATGTTCATTGCGGCTGCTGATATCTTCAAGAAATGTTCTTGGGTGTTGTATGTCGATTGTTGAATGACATTAGACTTGTTCTTGAATCTATAACTTAGCAGCATCGTATGTTTCTAACACAACTTTTGCAGATCTCTTGGAATGTGTCGAAAATGTGGAGATCTTAAGAATGTAGCATGTGGCCGTTGCAAAGGAACAGGAACAATCAAATCAGGGGGATTCTTTGGATTCAGTGACTCATCAAACACAAGATCAGTCGCTTGCGATAATTGCCAAGCCAAAGGTTGTTTCCCTTGCCCTGAATGTTCAAAATCTTGACCATTTTTCTCGGTATTTTATAGATTGCATCAATACTAAAACTACTTGTTTCATCTTCTTGACCTATATGATAAATGTAATCGGGCCATTGGTATTTTGGTAATGTTGAAGCTGAAGCATGTCTTATCCGTTTTAGAAGTCTCTTATTCCAATTCTTGATCAGTTGCTGGTTTAACCAAATTACGCTAAACCGGATGCTTGTGAATTCTTTATTTGGTTAGCTTTAACCGGGTCTTGTTCTGCCTTTAATTTAACCCGGAGAAATCCACTTTAGTGAACCAAATGCTCGTCTGGTCCTTTCTCTCTGTGAGCAACATTAGGTGGTGGGTTTTGGGCAGTTGACATACCATAACTGGTGCAAACACACATTTTCCTAGAATTTTTGTTTAGCTTAAATAGAGTTACTTCATTTTCTTGTTTCTTTCATATGAAAAAAAAAATCAACCATTATTGATAGTAGGTTGGTTATCTTTATCAAAACAAATAAAGTTAATAGGCAGAGAAACAACGGTCTATATTGTGGCATTTCATATGTTTTGTCTAACTAAATTAGCTACATATTAGACCACAGATTTGATGAATACAAAACAAACTTTTGTATTCTGATATCAAAAAACAGTACAAAAACAAATTCCGATGTTTTAGCAAACATGTGAAATGAAACCACGATTTAGTGATTTACGATGTTTTACCATGATTAAAGCTAAGAAAAGTAAAAGGGTAAAATGTAAATAAATAACGTTAGAAAAGTGTCACTGTTAAAAAGGAGGCTTCCGCTCAGAAAGCACGTCTCCGACAGAAGAATAATTCAATAATTAGTCGACACGTGGCCGTCAGACCACATCACCCATCTTGTTGTGGAACTTCACTGTTTTCCTTTTTTTTAACGTCGTTATTATTTACGCTCTGTAAAATCCGTACGGACTAGTGACTACCCACGTCACCTGAATTTTTGTAGCTTCGTAGATTCCGTGTCCAAAGAGCAAAGTTATCAACACATTTTAGTGGCATAATTTAAATTTCCTAATTGAACCAAACCATATGAGTCCATTTATATAATGAGATCCAATTATGTATTTTGTATACTTGAATAATGTTTTGATTTTTTACTTTGTTATGTTGCATATAACACAACTGTAATTTATGTTGCCTACAAGGCTACAACATATATACATATATAAATATATACCTCACGGCAAACACACAAACATGGATAACTTAATGATTATTATTATGTGGCTATTCTCTCAGTTTTAGGGTTTTTTAATGATTATTGAGCCAATTAAATGTTAAACCGAAATATTTGATTTAAAAAAGAAAAGAAAAATAAGCTCCACTTATATATCGACACGTGGAAACCCATTTTAAGGTAGGAGATGCTTTTCTGCGGCTTCTGAAAACAACTAGAAAATGATTATGATACGTTGCTTTCATTTATTGTATTAATTAAGTTTTATTTCATAATTGTATATATCACGCGCTTCATATCTAGCTACAAGACGACTACAACTTGCACATTTATGTTTACTTTTGTTTTCATCAAATTACCCTCATAATTATGAGGTTGAATTGTGAGACTCTCGTTGGAAAAATTAACAATCATCAGCTACCGGGTAAGAACTTTGGAATATATGACTACTCTTAAAAGGAAAAAAAAAAAAGAATATATTGTCAATCATTTAAAAAATATGAGATTCTTGACCGATTAGTATATTAAACCCAAAAGTTTTATTTAATAAATAAGTTTGTACTATGTTATGTACATATGTTAATTTATGTTCACAATAGGGAAATATATTAAACTACTATGTAAGAGTGTACTTTCATTTTAGATACACATTTCCAGCTAGTACGATCTGTATATAATACAAACTTTCTTAACACCGTTGCAACATTTATTTTTAAATGTAATAAGTGAAAGACCGTATACACATACACATGTTAATCAACTGATAATCTCTGGGCCTCGTGTAAGTACATTACAAGTCAACCATCAAACGTGATACTTACTGTTTTTCTTAAAGTACTTATTGTTGTGTTATATATAACTAAACATAGATCATTTGCTATTATGATATAAACATAGAATTTTCAAGGAAGGATATGTTTAGATGTTTTGTATAATCTCAAGCTTTTATTCCTAAAATAGTAGACACCCATATATACACAAACATGAATTCTACCTGAAGAGAAGCACATAGATTTTCTAATTAAATAATTACTTTCCGCTCCAATATATTTCATGCAAGTTGAATATTACAAACTTGGTGTTGCATTCATCCGGATAAATGAAGTAAAAACTATACAAACCAAAACAGCTTAAAAATTATAACCCTATAAGAAATAAAGTAATACGAAATAAAATTTACTCTCTTTTAAATAACATAAAAACATATAGTTTGGTGATTGTATCATATATATGAGTTAATTATTTGGTGATTGTATCACACGTGCTTAGAGAGAGCGTGGGAATGAAAGAGAAGAAGAATAAAGAAGTAGAGAGATGATGGGCTAGAAATGAGAAAACACACCAAACCCTAACCTCACCCTCACATATTTCTTATCTTTTGCTCTCAATAGATTCCATTAATTCAAACAAAAATTTCATTAAGATTTCACAACCTCCACACACATCCAAACACAATTAAAGAGAGAAAAAGAATCAATAACCCTAAAATAAAAATCATAAAAACAAAAGTTTCCACTTTTTATTCCTCTTCTTCTTCCTTAAGCTAGTACCTTTTGTTCTTGAAATTAGGGTTAATTTCCTTTTTCCATTCCATCAATTCTCCAGACCCTAAAAACTCAAAAAGATCAGATCTTTCCTCTGAAAAAGAGATACCCAACTTATTGTTGTTGTGTGTCTGTATATAGATAAACATTACATACCCATATTTGAGTGTAGATATAAATAAAAGTGGAAATAATTAAGGTAACAAAAGAAATGGGAAGAGGAAGAGTAGAGCTGAAGAGGATAGAGAACAAAATCAACAGACAAGTAACGTTTGCAAAGCGTAGGAACGGTTTGTTGAAGAAAGCTTATGAATTGTCTGTTCTTTGTGATGCTGAGGTTGCTCTCATCATCTTCTCCAACCGTGGAAAGCTCTACGAGTTTTGCAGCTCCTCCAAGTAATTAAACAACTCTCACTCTTGATCACTTTCTATTTCTTGATCGTTTTTTTGCTAGATCTGAGCTTATAAATCTTTGTCTAAAGGACTTGTTTTAGAACTATATATAGATCACACGATCTTGACGAGTTTAATTAGATTTTCTTGATTTCATTTTCTAGGGCTTTTTTCAATTCTTGAAATTTAAGATCTGGTTTCTTTTTTGTTTTTTTTGTTGTCTATGATTTAGAACTGAGAATTTTGTAATCAAATAGAGTTGTAGCTAGATGGATTTCCAAGTAAATCCAAATCCAGGTGTGCACAATCTGAAAAGTTCTATATAAAGAGATACTATTAATTAATATATGTCTGTGTGATTGGAAACTTAAAAGTTGGAATCACAGATTTCTATGAAAATTATATAAGTACCCAACGTAGAATGATAATATATGGTTACATGCATTAACCATTTGTTAGTTCATCATACTTTATGGTGGTTAAAACTTCAAACGTGTAGATATCTATGAAGGCTTTGATTCTTGGTTTTTGTTTTTGTTTTCTTTTTTACAATTTTTTTGATGGTTTTTATATGATAAAATAGTTTGCTTACATTCAAGAAAATATAGAAATTGATTCCTTTCTTTTTCAAACGCACGAAACTTAAAGTACTCAAACATAAGATATTGCTTGCAAATGATGATAGTATTGATATTTGTAAATATAAATGCAAAACTTTAACGTTTGAAACAATAAAATCCGAAGTAATTCGTGAGTCAGATAAATAACTGTAATCTTCTATTTTGATGAAAGAATACTTTAAAACCTGAAGAGCTCTTTTTAATGGTCATTTATAAGTTTATCTCTTAAGCCAAGTCTATGATCTTTTTGATAAATTCTTATCCTCTTTTTGAGTTTTGTTTCAGCATGCTCAAGACACTGGATCGGTACCAGAAATGCAGCTATGGCTCCATTGAAGTCAACAACAAACCTGCCAAAGAACTTGAGGTGTTCTTCAGATAATATTTTAGATTCCTATCATACCTATATTTCGAGAAAGATCGTTTAAAGAAGTCTGTTTTCTTGAAATATTTCAGAACAGCTACAGAGAGTATCTGAAGCTTAAGGGTAGATATGAGAACCTTCAGCGTCAACAGAGGTACATATCTATCTACCTCTATATATATACACTCAATTCTGTGTACATGTAGATTCATATTTGTGTGTGGCTTTGTTGGTGCAGAAATCTTCTTGGGGAGGATCTAGGACCTCTGAATTCAAAGGAGTTAGAACAGCTTGAGCGTCAACTGGACGGTTCTCTCAAGCAAGTTCGGTCCATCAAGGTCATATCATTAGCTATTTAAAGCGCTATATATACATGGAATCAATGATTCAGTATATGAGATTAATGTGTGGTGTTTAATTATTATAACTACTATATATATGGTGGCATGATGATTGTTTGCAGACACAGTACATGCTTGACCAGCTCTCTGATCTTCAAAATAAAGAGCAAATGTTGCTTGAAACCAATAGAGCTTTGGCAATGAAGGTATATATAAAGAAACTCATATACACAATAAATTTAATGCATTTGATGACTGCGATCAATCTCTTTCACAGGTTTTTGGAAACATCTCTAGCTAGTTTTCTTGTTTCTGATTATTCTCTTTTGGTGAAATGTAATTGTTTAGCTGGATGATATGATTGGTGTGAGAAGTCATCATATGGGAGGAGGATGGGAAGGCGGTGAACAGAATGTTACCTACGCGCATCATCAAGCTCAGTCTCAGGGACTATACCAGCCTCTTGAATGCAATCCAACTCTGCAAATGGGGTAAATTATTTGCCTTGAAAAATCATTTGCAAATCAGCTTTTGTACTTCACTACTAAGATTGTCCTTGTTTAAGGTTCTTTAGTTGCTTGGTGTAAAGAGGATCATTAATTTGTCTTTTAAGTTAAATGTTTTGGTGATGATGATGATGACAGGTATGATAATCCGGTATGCTCGGAGCAAATAACTGCGACAACACAAGCTCAGGCGCAGCAGGGAAACGGTTACATCCCAGGGTGGATGCTTTGAGAGTCATGTGATGTGATAAAGCTCAACAACAAAAGACCTTATATATATATATATAGACACAAGACTTGGATCTGTAGACATAAGTGGCTATACATAATTAAGGGTCCCGATCGATGATCTTCAGGATATATGTGTCTTGGGAACCTTTGCTTATATTAAGAATTTAAATATGTGGAACTTCTTTTAGCTTTGAACCCCGACACTGGTTTATTGTCAAGTAATGAGATAAACATTTTGGGTTACAATGTGATAGATATCTCTTGGACCCAATGTAAACCTCTATCGCAAAATTATAAGCATCACATATATATTCATAAAGGTTTAAGGTAATTCATACAAAATGATGTAAAAAGTTTCATGCCTTGATCAAAACACTGCCCCATATGCAAATCCTAGGAAACATGTCAGATTCCTGTGAGCATGTGTTTTGCTGCTGCTGCTGTTTTCTCTCTAGAGGGTTACCTCAGAACTCCATTAGCCAAACGTGCAGAGAGACATTTCCTCATTCCCCATCATATATATATACCATAGACAATTGTTAAAAATATTCACAGACCAAATCAGCTTGCACATCTCTCTGCTGCCTTGTCAATCTCCCCAGCTTCGGTTTAGGCAGTACAAGACGGGATCAATGGTAACAGGTTACGGTGTTTCGTTGAACTCCATCACCTGCAAATGAGATGAATTTACATCAGAGAAAAATTATTCTTTAGTCAACACTCAACATGAATGAGAAAACAATGCAATTGTTCTGAGTTTTAGGAAGAATGATTAGTCATATTTATCATAGACCAGACAAGTATAGATTTTCGTTTCCAAAGGAAACTTTTTTACGCATATGTGCCTCAAAGGTTGTTGTACATTTGTCCATTCTATTGTTATCAGGATCATACGTCTACTTATACACGATGTTGCTGAATCTGAAACCAGTAAATGTGAAGCCGAAAAATGGCTTGGAAGAACACGAAAAGTGTTACCTTTCCACAAACAGGGCAGTTTTCACTTCTCTCCATCCATTCATAAATGCAACTGAGGTGGAAATGGTGAGAACAATTTGTAACAATCTTCGGGTTCTCTGATGTGTATTCTGCAGAAACACAAAAAAATCTGATACTAAGCTTCCTTCAAATGCATTGATCGAAGAAAAAAAAGATGAAAATGAATACCTTCAAGACACGTTGGACAGACATCTTCATCATCAGATGTTATATACACGCCTTCATTACCAGTAGCCATTGTCCTTGACTGAAGAATCCTTCGAGAGGATTTAGAGAACTCTTCTTTGGAATCTTCACCAGAGATAATAAGCTTATTAGTCCATTTGCTTCCTTCCACTGAGAAAGACTCAGAATCCACATCAGCATCGCCTCTTAAGGGCTCAGCTTCCTCATGAGAATGACTTGAACCCTTATCGCGTCTTGAGACAAGGGAATCACGCCTTGACCGGAAGTATCTTGGATCAGTATCATAAGGCAGAGGCCTTGGAGTAGAATGGAATGTATTTGACGTAAAGTTATCATACGAAGTAGATGAAGCTATTGATACATTAGTAGCCTGTAAAGAGGACGGGAGAGAGCGGGGTTCGCCTCTTCTGAATAAAGAGATATACTGCAAAAGAAACCAAATCCGAAGCTTCGATGAGCTCTGCTTTATATAATAACTAGCAGGTGAAAAGTAAACACTGGAAAAAGGAGCCAAAAAGGGCCTTGTGGCCTGGTGGTAAAGGGGTCACAGCTGTGACTTCCGCCACCAGGGTTCGAGGCACGGCCACTGGCAGGTTTACATAGGGGAATTGCCAGCCTCGTGGGATTAGTCCTTGGGCCTAGGAAGCCTTTGGGAGACCCGCGGTTATTCAAAAAAAAAAAAAAACACTGGAAAAAGGAGCATTACCAGGTTAAGGAAGTTATTAACGAGACATCTCGGGCATGGGCAGGTTCTGTTAACAGAAGAACTACTTGGATTCGGGTAATCCTCAAAGTCTTCGACCCGAAAGCAAGAAGAAACACAGCCCATCTCCTTCTCTTCTTTCTTGAAATGTTAATTCATATAAGTTTCTTTAACTCAAGAACTTGGAGTCAAAATTGCTTTGAAAACATAACCAAGATTTACCAAATTCACAAAGCCGGTTTGAAACTTTTAGGAAACTCCTTTAACCTTCTCTAGGAATACTAAATCAGAGGTTTCGATCTACAGAAAGTCTCCAAACATTTCACCAACAATCTGCTTCATTCATTCTCTCAAATTTCACCGGTAGAATAATCTGATCACTGTTTGGAGTTTTAACCAGTTACAATCCAAAACTCATCACAACCCACTAAAATGTTTAGGAGTTTTTCAGCATTGACTATAAGAAACTATTAAACAGAGCAAGAGACATCAAAATCAAACATTCACCTAACTCAGTACAAATTTGTGTGTTTGGTCAAAAAGAAAACTCAAGGCTTCATTTGGGAAGAAAAAAAAAGGGGTAAAAATTGGTCAAAGTGAAATGCAAGCAACTAAGCGATTGTAAGTTGAAACCTAATTTAGGCAAATCCCTAACAAACGCAATAAAACAGAGAAACATATAATAAAAAAAAAATAACCCACTTGAGATCATTAAAAGTTAAAAACAAAACCCCAAGTTGCTTAAACAGGGCAAGAAGCAGAGAAATTTTACCAGAAAACAAAGAAAACAACATTTACATTTTGAGATTGCACTGATCAGAGTCAATCAGAACCCATTGTCCAGTGCTTCACATAAGAAAAACAAAAACAAAAACAAAAAAACCAAAAAAAATCAGATGAATCGGAACAAAGACTATACCTTTTGATGAAGAACTAAACGGGTTTTCGATTTTGATCGGACTCGACGGAAAAAAGAGAAGGGTTGAGACAAAGAACCAACTAATTAGAAAGAAAAAAAGGAACTTCAATTGCTTTATTTGCAGATTCTCAGGAAAGTGAACTTGGAGGAATATTTTCGTCACTTTAATCTTCTTTCTTCTTTATTGTTAATTCGTCAGCGAGAAGAGAGATTCAAGGAAAAAGTGAAGGAGGAGAGTTGTGTGATGAAGTTGGTGTGAAAGTGGGTGGGCGTTGTTGCTCGACGCTAATGGTAATGGAGGACTCTCTCTATACAATTAACCAATTTGATTAACTAAAATAATTTTCTCAATCACATTATTTTAGTTAATCAAATTACATATTACAACGATTTTGTAAATGACTAGGATATGACCCGCGGTACACCGCGGGTTAATTATTTGATTTTTTTATTTTTATAAATTGATGAATTTATTGTGTATAATATTTTTTGTTGTATATCGCGGGTAACATGCGTTGTATCTAAAATAAAAAATTTTAAGTTGTATTTGTTTTGTTTAGTGTTTAAGATTGTATAATTGTATTTTGATTTGTTATTTATAGGATTTCACCTGTGGTATATTGTCTCGTATTAATATTGACCCAAACCCGTCCAACCATATAATCTAAAATGAAATTAAACATCATTTTGTTATTTTTTAATAACACTTTTATTTAAATGTCATATAATTCGAGTTAATTTGAAAATTGCTTTCAAATAGTTTCCATGTATATTTTTAAATTAGTGTGTGTTTTTGGAACAACCCGTAAAAAAAATTTATAATTGTATCTTAAAATACTAATTAGGATTTCACCCGTGATATACTGTCCCATTTTAGATAATTGTAAAAATTAAAGAAAGATCCGAATGACTCAATTTCGGGTCTGAATAAAATAACGACATGATTAAATGCTCAATTTGTTCTTAAAAATGTTAATATAGATTACACACATATTTTTATTCATCGATTGAGTAATATATGTCCGTTTTAAAAAATTTGAATTGTAACATATGCAGAAAAAAAAAAACTAAAATTTACTAACTATTTATATATTTTATAATAATTTAAAATAATATAAATATAAGATCAAATAAAAGTGAAATAAGAATCATATATTTATGTTTAAGTTAGGTAGAGAGGTTTTAGGAAATTAGTGCAAATTTGTTATATTAGCATTAAATCATCATATTTGATTTCTTTATCTATAAAAATCGTGGAGAATATACCATAAATAAAGCGTTTAAATATAGTAATTAGTTGAGAAAGTATATATATTTTAGATTTTATTAATTATTTTTCGTTTTTTAATTTTGCCAAAATTTAAGGAAATATCCGATTGAAGATTTCCGGGTCAAAATTAAATAAATTTGACCCGATTTGGATACCCAAAAACTGCTGCAAAAATGTATAGTAGATGACAATAGGAATATTTTGTTTAAGAAAATATTACATTAGAGATTTTGTTATTCAATCAAAAGTAACAAAAGCAAAAAATTTGGATGAAATTTGGTTGAATGTATCTTTAAAAATTAGTTTTTTTTTGGTATTCTTGTAAATGGATATTAATGTTTAACGCGTTATATAGGCCTGGGCAAAAAAACCGCTAACCAAATAACCGACCGAACCGAACCGAAAAAACCCGAACCATATCCGAACCGAAGTTTTTAAAATAACCGAATAGTTTGTAAAATCTCCTATCCAAACTAACCGAAACCGAACCGAACCGAACCGATAACCAAACGGTTAACCGAAATATCCAAAAACCTATAAGATACCCAAAAATAATATCCAAAACTATAATTATAAACTCAAAATATTAATTATTTTTAGAATCAAAATAATCAAATACTTTAAATAATCAAAATATTCAAATATTGTTTGTTATATTTGTCAAAGTTAAATACTCTTTTACAAAATTGAATCAAATTTTAATATTTTTTTCTAATACTTTCTTTTTTTGTATTTTCTTTTTGTATTTTTTTGTGGTTAATTTTGGTTAGTTTCGGTTAGTTACGGTAAATTTTGGTTAGTTTCGGTTAGTTACGGTAAATTTTGGTTAATTTGGGTAAAAACCCGAACCAAACCGAACGTGATAAAAATTTGGTTAGTTACGGTTATCTATTTAAATATCCAAACCGAACCGAACCAAAAGGTAACCGAACCGAACCGAACCGAAATTCTTAAAATATCCGAATGGTTATTATATTATCATATCCAAACTAACCGAAACCGAACGTAACCGAACCGAAACCGAATGGTTAACCGAATGCCCAGGCCTAGCGTTATATATCAATATAAAATTACAAATGACAAACTTTTGTAACTGCGAATCTGATATAAAAGTACATTTGATAAATTAGATATCTACACAAAAAATAACATTGCATGACTAAATTTAATGATAAATTAATCAGTTCAAAATCCGATAGTTAACATTGCATAATTGCATAATGGTATAAATTGAAAAATGAAAACTCGCATAATGACAATTTGTCGAATAATCATTTAAATGTTATCAAGAGCCAAATGCCTGCAACAGTTAAATGGCAAGTAAATTCGTTTAAAATGTATTTTAACTTTTAACCTATCGTTCATTGGACAAAAATAATTTTACAATCATTTTTTAGTTATCATCATATTCAAATCCATTGACTATTGTCATATAGTGCAACTAATCTTAGTTTTTTTTTTTTTTTTTTTTTACATCTTTAGATCGACAAGGCCCGATTCATAGTCAATCTCTACTACGCGGGGTAACACGATTTAGTAGAATAAAAAAAAAGCGGAATCAAATGGACTTAACCACTTAACTAAAGTGCAACTAATCTTAGTTATTTGTCTCAAATTTGGCAATTTACTAATGAAATTATTGCAAAAAATCATAATCTAGTAAAAATTTAATATATCGGAAAAATCTAGTTAATCTCTGTTTTTTTGGGGGTCAAAATAATCTTCTACACCCGCAATTCATCAAGAAGTTAAAATAGAGGTAATACGACGACGCTTTAAATTTATACGAACCAACTAATGTAGCTGTTTGTTAGTGGACAATAATGAGTCAGGCTTTTTATGTAAATCAGCCCATATGAAGGAATGGGCAAGACCGTGTAGTAGACTACAGCTTGGGTTAATTTGATTTTGGCCCATTTTATGATTTAGTCCTATATTATTTAGAAATAAAAAAGATTCTTAATTTACAATGTCTGATTTTTCAAAATTGAAAATGATTTTAATACAAATTTATACAATAAAATATTAATTAATTTAGCCATAATTAATGTAATAATAAAATAATCACCAACTTAAAAAAAAGTATCAAATAATTCCTCCTTTTTGCTCAAAACTTATATATTTTATTTAAAATTTAAAACTGTTGGAGTTATCTAAATTTTTTTATCCTTTTGTCAATATTTTGATAAATTAAAAATATTATCTGGTATATCTATAATCCAGCATAGTATTTGTTTGTTGTTTTTTATGTCGTCGGTTTTTTTTTTTTGATAAAATATTGTCGTCGGTTTCTAATAGAATTTGTTTATTCTCGTGAATTGGTGATTTTTTTAGCACATACGGCGTCTTGTTAAAGAAAAAACACAAGAATCAAAAGTTAGAAAAGAAAATTCGAGAAGAACATTCACAGTCTTTAATACGAGAAAAAACATTCACATTCTTTCACTCATTTTATTTAATAGTTTTGTCCTTATCAAGAATGATTATGTATATATAGTCTATAAGAAGACAGAAGTAAGAATTGGGTACATATGGTTGTGTGGACATCCTTAGTGTCTCGTGATTCGACAGAGACTCTCCATCTGTATTCGCTTCCCCATTCTCATTCCCATAAGCCTTCACTTTCTTAAATTTCATGTTTTGTTTCCTCTGTTTAAGAAAAAAAAAACTATAGTTATTTAAGTCTAGTTATCAACTTTAGTCTCACTGCTATATATGTTCTCCAAATCTACAATAATTTTTACAAATATAGATATGTAAACCAAAATTATCGGTGAAATATAATACTCTTCCAACGGTTGGACAAATAACAGTTATTGTAGGTGTGTTATATATATAAGTTTTTTTTTCTAGAACGACGACCATCTTGCAAATGAATCATCATAATACTTTATTACATCAAGTTTGGATTACTAGCTCTTATCGATTAGAAATAGTTAAATCCGCCCATTAGACTGTTACTGATATTAGTTAACTATATATCAAAATCCCCACAGTAATTAATCATCTATTCTCGAATTATGACTTTAGAGTATGTAAAACTATATCTTCAGAAGTTAACTAATATCAGTAACAGTCTTTGAAAACATGGATGTAGACTATACTAAAAACATCAAACATGACAGAGAGTGATTCACAGTTTGGAATTGAAACATCATGTCATGTTTTAGTCTCATCCAAAATTCACGACGTAAATAAGGGAAAGATGAAGAAAAACAGATATTTTCAACTCAAAATATCTCAGAAGTGTTCGAGCCTTTAGCATAAAAAACAATTACATATGTATCTATAATTCGTATGTTAAAAAGAACAAAAAAAATCAAGACAGTAAATGGATGAAAAGAGAGGCTAGTTTTAGCCACCCCACAATGAAAACATGTTTTTTTTTTTTTACTTTGTACGTGTTTTTACCGTGTAATGATCGATCAAATCTAATCTGACACGCGAACGTGAATCCAAATTTTTATTGTTGTCTTTTTTCTCACCTCATACTATTTTTTACAATAATTCAGCTACTGAGCTGTAGAAAGATAGGGTCACAAGACAATATATAGTAGCTAGCTTTGTAGTTAGATTTTGTATTTTTCCCATGATTCACATTAACATAGAACACAAAAAAGAGATAAGCTTTCTTTTAACAATCTCTTTGTTTTTCCTGGCTCACTCATCTTCACACCACACTCCTATATATATCCCTCTTTCCTCGATAGCCTTCTGTTTCATTATAGTGAGAGATAGAGTCGATAACTATGGAGAGAACAACGAACTTATGGGTTTGGTTTAGTCTTATGATTTTCTTAGGAATCTCTATTAATGGAGGTCTTTCTCAAGGACAGCAACATGTTATGAAGAAGACACGTTCTTCTGCAGTTGTAGTCGGAACTGTCTACTGTGACACTTGTTTTAACGGTGCCTTCTCGAAATCACACAACCACTTAATCCCAGGTCTGTTTTTTTTCTTTCTAATCTCTTGCTCGTGTTTTCTTGATAAAACTACTTGGAAAATAATGTTTCTTGGATTCTAGAACAGAGCACTCTGTTTTAGCAAAACATCAGTTATCAATAAGTAGTTTTAATTTATGCAGGTTAAGTATATTAGCACAAAGGATTATGAACAGTTTTGTGGATCTTGTTGCAGGTGCTTTAGTTGCCGTGGAATGCATTGACGAGAACTCAAAACCGAGTTTCAGACAAGAAGTGAAAACAGACAAGCGCGGCGAATTCAAAGTGAAGCTACCATTCTCTGTGAGCAAACATGTGAAGAAGATCAAGAGATGCTCTGTGAAGTTGCTAAGTAGCTCACAACCTTACTGTTCCATAGCTTCGTCCGCTACTTCTTCTTCTCTCAAACGCCTTAAATCAAACCATCATGGAGAGAATACTAGGGTTTTCTCTGCAGGATTCTTCACTTTCAGACCCGAAAACCAACCAGAGATTTGTAGCCAAAAACCAATCAATCTCCCCGCGTCCAAGCCTCTTTTACCGGATCCTTCATTCCCTCCACCGATCCAAGATCCTCCTAATCCTTCCCCTATCCCAAATCTCCCCATCGTTCCTCCCCTTCCGAACTTGCCTCTTCCGGACTTACCTATTCCTCAGGTTCCTCCTCTTCTTCCCCCGGGACCACAGAAATCATCTTCCGTGCATAACAAGAAATCTGATTCCTTTAATGACAAGAAAGCTCAAGTACTAAAACCCGATTTCTTCCTTCCGCCAAACCCGTTAAACCCGCCATCTATCATCCCTCCGAACCCTCTAATTCCTTCTATCCCAACCCCAACTCTCCCTCCAAACCCGGTCATTCCTTCTCCCCCAACTCTCCCTCCAATCCCATTAATCCCTTCTCCCCCAACTCCAACTCTGCCACCGATTCCAACAATTCCGACTCTTCCGCTTCCGCTTCCACCTGTCCCAATCGTAAATCCGCCTGCACTACCGCCACCGCCTTCTTTCCCTGTTCCGCTCCCTCCGATCCCTCTCATCCCTGGAATCCCTCCGGTTACACCTTCCTTTTCTAGTCACCATCAACCTTAACTTTAGCAATCCTTTCCTCACATTTCCAATTATGTAATCTATAAGTATCATCCTGTTTAAATTGTTTTTTTCCTCTGCATTTTCACTTGTTGGCTTGTTGTATTTCAATAAATATTGTTTACCAAAGAGTTTCATTTGCTACTTTTCTTTCATTCCTCAATTACAAATACCGAAAAAAAAAAACAGTAGAAGCTAAGTACTAATACATTATAAGTCAATTTAAAAACAAATGGTCCATATTGACTTAATTAAGAGATTTGGAAACTTTTGTAACGATCTAAAATCTTGAGTACCTTTCCGTAATTATCACATTATTTTCTCTGGTTGATTATTTCAGTCCCAGTGAGCGAATCTTATCAAAAACTCAAAACTCAAAAATTATCCGATCTGATTCTATGGCGGAGACATTCAAGATCCGAAGACTAGAGATCTCCGATAAGAGAAAAGGATTCATCGAGCTTCTAGGTCAACTCACCGTCACCGGATCAGTAACCGACGAAGAATTCGATCGGCGATTCGAAGAAATCAGATCGTACGGAGAAGATCACGTGATCTGCGTGATCGAAGAAGAAACTTCGGGAAAAATCGCTGCAACGGGAAGTGTGATGATAGAGAAGAAGTTTTTGAGGAATTGTGGGAAAGTTGGGCACATTGAAGATGTTGTTGTGGATTCAAGGTTTCGCGGGAAACAGTTGGGGAAGAAAGTGGTGGAGTTTCTTGTGGATCATAGCAAATCAATGGGTTGCTATAAGGTGATTCTTGATTGTAGTGTGGAGAATAAAGTGTTTTATGAGAAATGTGGGATGATCAATAAATCGATTCAGATGTCTAAGTACTTTGTTTGATGATGATGATCTTTTGTTTTCTTGTCTTTAGAAAGAAGAATCTCAGATTTGTTCGATTTACTTATCTAAAATGGTAGAAATTTCGTCATTTTCATCAACTTTTCTTTTCCGATTCTCTACCGTGAAGTTTCGATATTCCAAAATTCGCATTGGAAAGTATTAAAAACACATGGAACGACACAAAACACGAGAGCATTTGCATAGACAATGATAAACAGCTTGGTGAGTTCCTACATTTTGACATCTCTCTGTCAACATTGAATCCATCAAGACTGAAGGCATGCACTGATGATACACTAAACAACACAAAAGCTTTAGACTTTGAAAAGCTGCGACCATTAATACCTATGATAAACAGATTGGCTGAGTTGCTTCCATTGACATGTCTGGTGAATCCAATCAAGACAAATCTCCACCGCTTGATTGCCAAAGATTGATGATGTCTGTAGCTTGGTTAAGGAGAAAGACGCGATGAAGCTCAGAGATCCAAGGCTTGCTCTCTAACAAAGCTTTGAGCTCTTCCCAAGCATCTTTCCTAGGCCAGAAGTAGTATGGACTAAGTGGGATTGTTCCAAACCCTGGAATCATATGGTCTAATGCAACTCCTATGTCCTTCTGCATCCACACAAACTTCAGTACCACCTTTGGTTTCTCCAGCGGCTTCACTAACACCCGCATCTTCTTCTGCAATATAAGATGAAGAAAACCGGGGAGGATTCCCTTAAACTCATACATCTCAACTTCCTTTCACAAAAGTTTTCAGAATCAAGCAACATAAGGAAGACAAGAAACTCCGGTTTGAGTTTTCGGATATGAAGAAGAATAAACCAGGCTTGCATTGAAACCATACATTCTTAAGAGTAGTGTTCTTGAATCAGCAATGATGCAACATAAGGGAAATTATATATGTATGCATCTCCAGATTTTGGAGATGGAGATATGTTCAGACTTGGCTTCAATGGCACAACTTGCTTAACCACATGTTCGTTCAAATGACAAAAAAAGGCTGCAACTTTTTCTAACAAGCTAAAACCCCAATTTGTTCCAAGAAAAGATTTTGACGATGACTGACCTTTCCAAGTGGCGGAGATTCAGATTCTGGTGGTTCATGAGAGAAGGTAAGATTGGATGGGGCAGATGCGAATATTCCGGGATTTTTACCGGAGTGTCTCGTCGGAATTTGACCAGGATTCCAAGTAGAGCACGAAATCGACGCTAGAGAAGAGTATTTGAGCTTCGTTGCCAGCGAAATATAAACAACATGTTTCGAAGAGAGCTTCTGAGAAGGTGAAGCTGTTCTGAAACCAAAAGAAGCACTCTGATTTGATTGAACCGCCATTTCAGCTAAAGCGTTTGAAGCTTCTTAGCGAGCGAGAGACAGAAAGCAAAACACAGGTTTTACAGTTTCGGGTCACTTCTGGTCGGGTCGGGTCGGATCGGATCAAACGGGTTCGTGACTTTTAATTGTACTCTACTATTTTCATGTCATAAAAAAGGGAAAAAAAAGATTCCAAGTTGAATTTTGTTTGTATTTAGGTTGAAGGGTAAAATAATATCTAACTTTAATATTTATGTTCATCCATTTTTGTGATTCAAATCAAACTTTAGAATATGACAATATTCAGAGTTAGATAAAATATCTATATGATAATATTTTGAAGAAATATATAAGGGGAATTGCCATTTCCTATTTTAAAAGTAAGCAATACAAAATAAGAGTAGTAGCACATTTGATATATATTGCAAAAAACATAACCAGAAATCCAAACAAACCCTGCAACAGTAGCACTGAACCTTTCATAGCTATTACAAGACATCAGTCTTTTTTTTAAAACCTCCTCAAAGTTAAGCAATCATGTCATAATCATCCAATTTGTCATTGTACTGAAGAACCTTTCGTTTAATCTTGGAAGAATCAACCCAAGTGATGAAATCTTCCATGTTCCGAGTTACTAAGAAAGCTGGATCAGTAATTGTTTCTGGTCCTACACGAATGTGTCCTTGCTCTATGTATGTCACAGCTTCTTTGTTGTGCTCTGCAAACTTTAGGTGAACCAGTACAGTCGATAGCCTACGCCTGCAAATTACAAAAAAAAAAATACCGACATGAGACCAACGAAATGAGATCATTGGCTCTCAAGGGAAAACGTAACTGCCTATTGCGTATACCCTTACCTACAGAAGGATGAAACTGATAACCGTTCAGTTAAAGCCAAGCTTTTCCTAGTCGGTATAACACCCATGTTATATCTGCAGTTTCAACATACATGGAAGTAACACAAGTCAGTCAGCCATTATGAAAACAAGTTTTCTCATTGCAGAGTGGAACCACGCAATCAACAAGTTTCAGTGGAATGGCTCTTTTTTCCTATACATAAGCCTATGTATAAGCTATTAAAGACACAGATTCTGTAAGAATCCTGACTCAATCGATTCCTTAAGAACGTTAACCAGAAAACCATTAGATCACACAACATTTTACCAGGATGATATTCAACCTCTAATGGATTTCAAACCAACGGTCCTAAAATCTATGTAGAAGCTTCAGAACCCCCAATTTCATCTGTCTCTAAGGTGGTTAACAAGAAAAACAACCAGAGGTCTCTAAGATAACATAGAAAGAAAATGCAGAAAATGGTCAAGTCTCATGTTCAAAGACCTAAAACCTAAAGAAAACAAAGAGCCATTGCTTGTAATAAGCTCTATACTTGAACAAACTGGTATATAAAAACAAAAACTCACAGCTTCTCCAAAAGCATATCAGTCATCTGAATACGAAAAGGATCTGCGGGATCCATTTGTTTCAATATATTCGTCAGTTTCTGCGCCATCCTACACAATCCTGAATACCTGCCCGAAGAAAAAAGAAAAGTAGTCTCAAGAATCAGAATTACAATTGTTCATCGCAAAAGACTCGAACCAAAACAAGAAGAGAAAAAAAAAAAAAAAGGTACAAACTTACTTTTTGTAATCATCACGAGAGCCCATGTGGTAACGATACGTAATCTCGTTTTCCCGATGGTTATCTTCTCTTTTCCATTCTAAGAAATTTACTTTCTTTATAAGCTTCTTCTCGTGATACTTGAGCTTCCTCATCTGGGACGGTTCTGATGATACGCAACATTATACGAAATTAGGGTTTATTGGTCCACTGAATCAGATCAAAATCCTGAATAATCAAAACCCTTGTACAATCTAATGGGCACAACTAGGATTTATCAATCTCTGTAAAACTGGTCTACGAGTAAAACTGAAGTAGTTTACCTGAGAGAGATTAATCGGCGCGGGGTAGAGTAGCGACGAAGAAATAATTGGCGATGAGGTTTTTGGGTTTGAGCTGAAAGAAAATGCTAGAGACGCTAAAACCCTAATCGGCAGAGGAAGCAATTCAGAAACCCTAATTGAAGGAGAAGAAGTCAGATAAATCCGACGGTCCTTATCCTCCGTTCGATTGTAACTTTGTAAGGCCTAAGCAAAACTAAATCTTGTTTTTAAGTTTTTTAACGTCTTATTATGGGCCTTATAAGCCCATATAGTGTAAGAAGAAAGAAAATCAATTCAAACACTTCACTAAGTAAAAAAGGAAAAAATAATTATACCAGCTTTTTTTTTTTTTTTTTTTTTTTCGCCAAAATAATTATACCAGCTATTTGGAAGCTCTAAGCTTAAACAAGCATCATCCATTGGAAGCAAAAGACATAGCTTTACTACATTCTACATTCACTAATAGTTTTTAGCAGCCATTTCTACTCTAAAGCCATATCAATTCAAAAACCTAATTAACCAAAAGTAATTCAAACGTTATCAAACTTTAGGAGCAGCCGCACAAGCTTCTTTCAATAGATTAGACAATATCTGTTAAATGCGGTTAAATGGATTTGTTTTCACATAACATATCCATTAATTAAATGGGGGTTCCATATCCATATTAACATCTGTAGTTTTGGATGATCTTCTCCACCATCGATCAAAAAATGTAGATATAAAACTTTTTATGGTTGATATCGACAGTTTGGCAGATGATATTGCTGATATTTTGTATACCTTAGAGCCTAGACGTCACAACTAAGTAGTGGTCTAGTCGACATATACTAGCCAAAGTAGTACAATGACAAACTTTTATCCTTAAAATGTAGTACTTTCTTCGGATTTAATTTGTTAAAGAGATCTATCTCTGTTTAACACTTATGTAAACATTTATAGGTTTAAAAAAAAAAAAAAAAAAAAAAAAAAAGTTTTATAGAAAGTAATAAGGGTCCCAATTGTATACTCTTCTTAATAATCTACTAAAAGTCTCGATAACAACCAAAATTTCAAATCCAATGCGCACGTAAGTATACACATACACGAATGGGCTTAAAAGTTGGGAGTCTTAAAATTATTGAGCCACCGACAGTGCGACACCGAGTTTCGTGGGTATATTAATTTTTTCACTAAATATTTTGCGTTTAAGTTATCTTCAAAGTTATTGGCTTCTTTTATAATACGTGTTTGTTCTATTTCAAGCAAAAACATAATTGAAGAAACGTCTCCTTTATTTGTTTTGTTCTTTTCTTAATTCTGAATACTTCTGTTAGTTTTTGAACGTATCGTTAATGATTTGTTCTGTTACTTTACCTTTCTAATATTGTCAAGTTACTTGCACTTTTAGGAGAAGATGTTTTTGCACAAAAAAAAAAAAAAAAGGAAGAAGATGTTCATTAAATGTTACTTAAAATACTTAAAGCATTAAAACTTGTGAAATACAAATCTGATTAAATATATAGACTGAAATAGAAATGACGCATTTAATTGAACCTACATATATTTACAAGCTTTTCTCTCTGTTTTCTTCTTAAACTCTTTGTTGAAATGACAATTACAGTGTACAAGTTATAGAAAGATCTTAAACTCTTAGATTTTTTTCCATTGGAGAAATGTATTCGTTTTTAGAAAATTAAATCATTAAGTTCCGACAGCAATGTAATGTCCGATGTCGGTGGAATGTATATGGTCATAGAAAATAACGTACATTAATATCGCTTAATAAGCAACTCATTTCTATTCGAATATAATTCTTTTATCGCCAAGTGATAATTAAGCCTATACACTGGAGATGCTTTCAAGTCATTACGTGACAATTGGCCTTTACTTAATTTCCAATATATATCAATCGATACGATCTGGTATACATACCAATCATTTTCGAATAGCAAACATGAAGGAGATTGATCAAGATAATTTGACCGAACATCATCCTATATATTATATATTTGCTGATGTAATGCCATGATTTAAAACAACCTGTTCATAACCTAAGTTGCATGGAATCAGAAGCGGGTGCGGGGAAGCGAAGCGTTTGGAAACGTGGAAGCGATTTTTTCAAAAATTTATGATATGGGTACGTTTTGGAAGCGTGTAATATATATATATATATATATATATATATATATATATATATATATATAATCAAATGTGATTAAATAACTCAAATGTGATTAAATAACTCTTGTCTTAAATAAAAGAGATCCAATACTTAATTAAGTTGATTAGAGATTAAAAAAAAACATAACGCATAAGTCAAAGATTTGGACCATCGTCTTCCTTTTCATTTTCATCACCATTAGCAAACACTCTCAACAACTCACTTAACGCTTAGTTATACTTGGACATTATAATTACTTATACGAATGGGCTTTAGTTAGACCCATTAGACAACACCTTTCTTCTGTTGGGCCACACCTTAACCACTTAGGCCCACTCCATCTCTTAACTCAAAACACATCTTCTTTTTACGTTGACTCCTTCTTCTTCTTTAGTTGACCTCTCTTCTTCTTCAACCATGACAACTTCTTCTTCTTGTTCTACTTCAGAACTTCCTTGTTCTTCATCATCACTAACCTAGCTTTCTCTTTTCCAGGGCCAATCAAATGGTTCAATCCCAACAAGAGTTTTGCCAAAGACGAAATTTAGCCACGATTGGTATTCTCTTGTTTAGTAAACTGTAATTAGGGTTTTCTAATTTCATATTTAATTAAGAAATACAAAAAATATATCACGCTTCCTAAATATTTCCTTAATAACGATTCCAAAATCAGAATCGCATAAAAATAGAACGCTTCCTAAACGGAATCATAGCTTCCAAAAAGCTTCCGATTTCCTTTTTTTCGGAATCGCGCTTCCACCACGCTTCCGGGCGCTTCCTGAAGCTTCCGATTCCGTTTTAGCTTCCGAAGCGGGAATCGGACTACGGACGGAGCTTCCGTGCTTCCCTAGTTCATAACTTCACATACACGTGTATCTTTTTAAATTGTCTTCACGAATGAAAAAAAAAATCATTGATCTTTCATTGTTTTCTAAACTTGGCCGGCGAGATCATTGCTTAAAGCTTTATTAAATTGCCGCTGCAGCTAGAAATTGTGGTTAGTCACTTTCACATGTTTTATGAATAGAGTTTTAAAACCAATACAACTTTTAAAATTCGTTAAATGAGAAAATTTAGTTGATAGGTTGAGAGTTATTTGAGATTTCAATTTTTTTGACTACATCAAATTACATGATGTAACCGGCGACATACATATATATATATATATATTATTAATAATAGATTAGGAAATTTATTTTTATCAGAGTGTTTACCAACGATCTGAAAATAATATGATTAATATTTTTGCACAAAAAAAAAAAATGATTAATATTTAAATTTTGTTGTTTTTTTGGATAAAAGCATCTACGGTTGACTTGTGTATTTTCTTACAAAAGAACATATCTAGATTGATTTTTTTTTGATTTTATAATATTTAGAGGTACATTAAAAAAACTTGTATATTTCTAGAGAGACTCTTGAAATTTTATTAAAATATCTAGCTTATTGCAAATATCATAAATTGTATAACACCAAAATCTAATTTATATTTTAAAATTCTGAATTAAATAGAAGTGATTTTAACTAATTTTCTCAAAAAATATGAACAAGATTACGAGACAAAGTTGTGATTATTTTTTTATTTTTTTTTTAATTATGAACAAGACAAAATTGTGTTTAAAATTTGAAAAGCAAAGAAAACAAATCCAATTTTAAAAGACCATCTTCTATTAATGGTTGCTTTTATAAAAAGTTTAAAATGTATCTATTTATGTTTGTTACTTGGTTCATGACGAAACATATTAATTCCTTCTTATGTATTTATCCATTTGTTTCCTATAAATACCCTTAGATCAGTTTTCACCCAAAAAAAACCATACTACAAAAATGCTCAATCTTTTCTTCTCTCAAAATTATACATAATGCTTCTTTTAAATATACGCATATTGTCGAAATTTCGAATATCATAATACTGAAAATGTTAATTCAATCGGCTCGGGGCCAGATTTATACCATACTTCAATCGAAATCAAGGTAACAAAGCTAGCTTAAGTTTTGATCTAATTTTTTTGGACCTTTTTGTGTTTAATACTTTAAACAATAAACATAATACACGTCCACAAACTTTTTTATATTTTATTTTGGATTGACAAATGACAACTGTGAGCAATAAATAGAGTTGGTCCATCTATCTATATTTAATTATTTATACATATTGTAGGCCTGCTTTTTATTTAGTTGCCAAATATTCAATATTTATTTGGATCTCTCTATGTCATTGCTGTCACATTGCGAGAGATCCACAAGTCTAGAATATGCCCTTTTGAACAATTTTAAATGATGTAAAAAAGAAAAAAAAAAAGAAAAGAAAAGAACAATTTTAAGTTTATGTTATTTTGTTTTTATTAAAGAACCGACAGAAAATGAATCTTGCCGTATTAATTTGATTTATTTCGATAAGAAAATGGTTTGAATTTATTTTGTTTAGTTTTCTAAGGACAAAATAAGTTCATTTTGGATATGTAAATAATAAATACATATAATGTAATTTCATTTTTCAACCAATTTTTAAAATGAGATTTGAGTTAAATATGTGGTTTACACATATTGTTCTTTGGGTCAATACTTTTGGAAGTTAACTTGTGGATTAGTTTTGCTTAACGACAGAATTAGTAGTATAGAAGCAACCTGCTAATGTGGTTTAGATATAACTGAAACTCTGTTATTTAACTTCCAAATATATTAATTTATCCCTCTAGGAAATAAACCTAAGAAAAATAGATTGAATGTATTTGGTCAACCAAAATTCAAATATGTTCCTTTTTAAAGTTATCCAAAAAAAAATACATACAAGTGCACTGATAGCAAGATAATACAATGTATGTTTAAATTTAATTAAAGGTCTACTTTGGCTCTGTATCAAAAAATTATTTTAAATTTGCAGAGAATATTAAAAGAAATATTTCTACTATTTCGTTGTTAAAAAAAAAGGTTATAAATAATACTCCAGTTTTTTGCCGACAAAAAAGAAGAAACCTAAAGACTGCTTATTTTTATTTTCCTCCTTGGTAGAAAAAAAGTGCTGAATTTTGCACATTCTTGTCTCTTTTTCCCCACACCGATCTTCTCCCCTATTTCTCCGACGTCCTTCTTCTTCATTCTCCGGTCAACACCGACCGGTTCTTCACGTCTCCCAAATAAGCAGTAAAACACTTACCACAAATTTTTATTTATTTGTACGGCTACTTTGCTCATCGATCGCCATTGCGGAATTTCAAAGCCTTCTCCTTTATTTTCTGTAACTTGAAGTGTGAGCTTCATCAATTGAGAGTTGAAACCTGAGAGAGATTCTTCTTGTTTATTTAATAGAGCAAGATCTGGGTTTTCGTCAGATTATTATTAAGTCGAAGATCGTGGGCTACTTTAAAACAAAAAAATCTGGGTTTTTCGAGGTGTGATTAATGCTCACTGATTTGTGTGGAGATTACATTTTCTCTGAGTGTTATTAGAGGATAATTAAAAACTTGAGCACCAAAACTATTACTACTATATTGTTTTATATTCCTGTCCTTTTAAATCTGCAGTATTTTAAGTTGAAGAAGCTGTGGTTTAGTTTTTCCAGGCTTACCCTTTAAGTGTTCGATGAAATTCCTCTGAGAGTGTTTTGGGAACTGAGAGAAGCTTCTGTGAGAGTGGGTTGGTTGGTGGGTGATTTTGAAAAAATGTGTAAAATGGACAAGTTTCTTTACCACAGGAAACTATGGGAGATGAATGTTAAGCTTCTAGGAGAGAGCAAGGTTGAGAAACTCAAGAACTCTTTTGTTTCGAGGCCTCGTATGAGCTTATGGATGATTCGTGCTGTTACTGTATTGTTGCTTTGGAGCTGTTTTGTTCATTTGATGGCTTTGGGAGAGATGTGGGGACCACGATTGTTTAAAGGTTGGCCTTCTTGTTTCAATCACCATGAACTGTCCACTGCCGCAGAGATGACGTCTCTTCCCACTAAAATCGCTCTTCCACCTAAAAGTAAGTTCTTTACAGAAGATTGATTGATAGAATTTGTGGTTGAATGGGATAATGTAGCTAACTTGGAGATGAATATGGAAAACTAAGCTTTTTGTTTTATTTTTTCTCAGGGGTATATGTGAATAATGGTTATCTTATGGTTTCCTGCAATGGAGGACTTAATCAAATGCGAGCAGCTGTAAGATGAGAACTAAACTATTGCAATTTGCTTCTCTTTGCAAGGATTCATCTTCTAGTGATATGATTTGCTTACTTTGTTTTTGGTCTACTTTCTACAGATATGCGATATGGTAACTGTTGCAAGATACCTGAATGTCACACTTATTGTGCCGGAGCTTGACAAGACCTCGTTTTGGAACGATCCAAGGTATGTATCTCACTTGAAGCTTCTTTGTGAACTCTGTTTTTTTTTTTTTTTTTTAAAACTTTCTGATTCGACAATCTCTTACAATGTTTTCTTCTTCGGGGCAGTGAGTTTAAAGACATATTCGATGTGGATCACTTCATAGGTTCGTTGAGAGATGAAGTTCGGATACTCAAAGAGTTACCTCCAAGGCTTAAGAAAAGGGTTGAGCTTGGAATGTACCACGAAATGCCTCCTATTAGTTGGTCAAACATGTCTTACTACCAGAATCAGGTTAATTTCCAAGTTTGGTCTTTTCGTTTGAGATTAGTCCTCACTTTGCTTCTTATAGTCTTATACCTTAATCCTTTTACTAAAAAATTTCAAATTAAAAATATATCTGGAAACAGATTCTTCCCCTGGTGAAGAAACATAAGGTTTTACATCTAAACAAAACGGATACTAGACTCGCTAATAATGAACTGCCTGTGGAGGTTCAGAAGCTGAGGTGCCGAGTAAATTTCAACGGGCTTAAGTTTACTCCTCAGATTGAGGAATTAGGTAGACGAGTAGTCAAGATTCTGAGAGAGAAAGGTCCATTTCTTGTCCTGCATCTCAGATATGAAATGGATATGTTAGCATTTTCTGGTTGTTCCCATGGTTGCAACCCCGAGGAAGAAGAAGAACTAACAAGAATGAGGTACCAAAAAAAATCTTCTTGCTTTTGTTCCGACTTTGATGGATCTATTGATGTAAATTATCTTTGTTGGCAGATATGCTTATCCTTGGTGGAAAGAGAAAGTCATAAACTCTGAGCTGAAGAGGAAAGATGGCCTTTGCCCTTTAACTCCTGAGGAAACTGCTCTCACGCTGACTGCGTTGGGTATTGACCGAAATGTTCAAATATACATAGCTGCTGGAGAAATCTATGGTGGTCAAAGGCGGATGAAGGCTTTAACAGACGCTTTTCCGAATGTGGTAAGTATTCATTTCAGCATCTGCAATTTTTTCAAACTTATATCTTCCATTGACTCCATTATCTTAACTAACTCAGGTCCGGAAAGAAACCCTACTCGAATCCTCTGATCTGGATTTTTGCCGGAACCATTCATCTCAAATGGCTGCACTTGATTACCTAGTGGCTCTTGAGAGCGATATATTTGTTCCAACCAATGATGGGAACATGGCAAGAGTCGTTGAAGGTCATCGCAGGTGAAATACCTTCATCTTTCTTCCTCTTTCTTCCCATATTTATCATCCCGAGGCTGACACCATTTTTTCCAGATTCTTGGGATTCAAGAAGACAATCCAGCTGAATAGGAGGTTCCTAGTTAAGCTGATAGATGAATATACTGAAGGATTGTTGAGTTGGGATGTATTTTCATCCACGGTGAAGGCCTTTCACTCTACTCGAATGGGAAGCCCTAAGAGACGGTTAGTGATTCCCAATAGACCGAAAGAAGAAGACTACTTCTACGCCAACCCACAAGAATGTCTGCAGCTGTTAGATGAACCATTGAGAGTCATTTGAGAAAGTGACTTCACCACTGGCGAGAGAACAGCTTGAATATCGGCTCTAAAGCTTTAATTTACTAAAGTCTGAAAGATGAATTTACAGTGAGTTTTACAGATTGAAGTTTTTTAGTGTTCTTGGTATAGAGATTTCTGAAAGAGCTTCCATGGATGGAGGGTAGAAATGTTGATTAAAGTTTACATTGTAAAGTTTGGCATCCATGGCCTTGCCAGTTTTGTTAGCTAAATAATAAGTGCCATTATGTGTAATTAAAACCTTGGTTACAGATATATATATTTCAGATTATTACTTTCTCTCTTGATTCCTAAAAATCAATCCCAATATGTTCTACATAAAAAAAAACAAATTATAGCTAGCAAATGTTGTCTACATTAAGAAAAAAACATATTTTAGTGAATGGAAAATTTAGATAAAACAAACAACCAATAACAAATGGCATTTTCAGATGGTTCAATTATCATTGCTCTACTTTTAGAATCGGTTTTAGCAGTTAGGTGTTTGAGAGTATTTTTTTAAACATAAAATTTGATAATAGTTTCAAGCGATTTTGCCTAGATAAAGACATTTTAAATAACAAAAAGAAAAGAAAATACAATACAATACAAAATCTTAAATTTAGATTTTGAACTGAAATTTATTATTTTTGTATCCATCTATTTAAAAAATAATTTATGTTTCTTTTTGTCAACTTTTGGTTATGAAATTTATGACTATTAAATTGGTGAGTATAAGATCACTAATTTTCACCTACTTATTCAAATATGCTCCACTACCTAAACACCTAGAGTGGAATCCGCTCCTATTGTATTGGTTAGTGTAAGATCACTCACTAACTTTTCATCTGTTATTATGTGTTGAAAACTACTTTGGGTTCAAAAGTTCAAAGCCAACCAAAACACTTCAATTTTTGCAATGATTTTGAGAAGTGAGTGAGAACAAATGGGAAATGGCCCTGACTCACTAACCCATTACGTCCATTTCAAAATTATTTTAAGAAAATCAAACCATATTTTATATCTCGAGAAAATACAGATTATTTAAAGAGCATGAATATATAGTTTCAAGTGTATTTGAGTAACCCAAGAGAGAAAATAACTATTCTTTTAAGTATACAAGTGATCCAAGTAATATTCAATAGCTTTTAAGTTGTTGCTCAATGGGTGATCCAAGAAATTCTATTTCGTCTACCACTCATCACATTTCGTAGAGGTTCTTGATCTTATCGATACCAAACTTATTATTTACAAGATACTTTTACTTTTTCTCATCTCTATATATCTTGGACACTATAATCATCTCCTTGAAAATACAAAGATATTTCAATATGGATTTTATTGGTTTCTTTAAATGATTTTTACATCGCTGTTAGAAGTTATGTGACATGATGTTTTTCTTTGTTTTGTTTTTTTGTCAACAAGTCCCTTTAATTGCTTATTGATTGGATATTAATATTGTTGGATCCACCGAGACACATAGCTTTCGCAGCACAACAAGTACACACAAAAGTTGATGAAGATATCATTATTAATTAATGGGTTCAAAATATAGGTGGTTCTTGTTTATGAGGTTTAATAGTTTGTGAACTTGATAATTCCTCCTTTTTACAAGGTTTAAACTTTTTAGATTTTATGATGATGATGATAGTTTGATGATGATATAACGTTGGTAATGATTTTTCGGAATGAAAATTACACAAAACTTAAACCCAAAAATAATGACTAGATATATATTTTGTTAGGAGTCTTTAAAATTAAAACATAACCTCTTTTTTTTTTTGGTCATCAAGCAAAAACTCTTTTCTTTTTGCAGAAATCTTAATTTTGAGACTCATGTGGTAATATGTACAAAAAGACTTACTCCTATAGAAGCAAAGAGTTACTATGTTGTTCCAATGTTCCTCTCTTGATGATTCTCTTCCTTAACACCAGCCAATAACCCTAACTCAACATGCTGATCCTTAATCCTGCTCATAACCCTTGACAAATCTTCCTCATAACCAACACTAAATGATGAAGACATCGTGTCCTGTCTTCTTCCTCGAGACCGACCTTGTTTGATCTTTAGTATGAATTGTGTGACTTCTCCAATGGATGGTCTTTTTCTTGGTGTCTTATGCACACACCTGTTTGCAATCTTCGCCAGTAACCTCACTTCTTCAATGCTTGCATTGCCCACTAGTTTCTGATCGAGTATTTCGTCGATACCATCTGGACTCATCGAAGCCTGATCATCAGAAAGACAGAATCAATGATCACACATTCACTCACTGAGTTTTGGTTCCATTTGGGGTTTTTAATTTTGGATTTTTGGATTATTCGATTTGGTTGCATAAAAATAAGTTTTGGGGTGATTTTGTTTGGTTTTATTCGGTTTTACTTTTCAACTTACCAGGTTGATGTATTCCATCAGATTCTGTTGGGGATGGATTGCAGTAATGAGCTCAAGAATGATGACACCGAAACTGTAAATGTCGCTCTTCATCGTGTATTTGTTAGTCGAAATGTATGTTGGATCCATGTACCCGTGAGTACCCTTCAATCCGGAAGTCATTCTATCTAAAACCATCTCTTTCGACAACCCGAAATCCGCGACCTATACCAACAAGAAAAAAAAGAAGAACCAAAATTTTAATTTAACCAAACAGTTTTGACTAATCGACTTAAATATTTGCTCTCTTACCTTAGCTCTCATGAAGTGATCTAACAATATGTTTGCTGACTTAAGATCACGGTGAATAACTGGCGGCACGGCTCCTTCGTGAAGGTATTCAATGCCGTGGGAGATGTCAAGAGCGATTTGAAGCCGCTCTTCCCAAGTCAAGACTTGCATTCCTTCGCCTGGAAAGCAAAGTAGAAAATCTTGTGAAACACTTAAGTGATTAATTTCTTGCTGCGTCTTATATTGATAGAAGAAAACAAAGACGACTCACCGCCATACAAAAGATTCTCCAAACTTCCATTACTCATGAACTCATAGATCAACATCCGGTGACTTTTATCGACACAGTATCCTGTCAAGTTCACAAGATTCCGGTGATGCAGCCTCCCAAGTAAAGATACCTGGAAACAAGAAACCCAACACTGCTCTGTTATCTCCATTGTGCATGGACCAGGGAAATGAGTGGATCTGTACACTTACCTCGGTTTGAAACTCTCTGTCTCCTTGACTTGAATTAGAGCCATGAACTTTCGCTGCAGCTAATCCTCCATTGGGCATAACCGCTTTGTACACAGGACCAAAAGATCCTTGTCCTAGAACGGTTGTGAAATTTTGTGTTGCTTTCTGAATATCCCTAAAGAAGTTTCAGACCATAAGCTACTACAACCTAGTAACAAATTCACGCAAACTAAAGCTTTATACTGAATACGCACTTGTAGTGATATCTAGGTATGCCGGATGCAGATACAGTGAGATCTTTGTTATTGTTGTTCCACCATGGCTGATGTTGAGTTGGTGCTGCATTCTCAGGTGGCTGTGACGATTCTGTGTTGGCGCTATCATCAGGGGTTACTACGCCTCTTTTAGCAGTGTGAACAGGTAGAGTCGGGGTATCCTGTTCATTAGCGCATCGCCTTAGGTGAGAGCGGTTATTGTACCATTTTATGGCGAAGAACAAAAGCAGAGCGAGCAAGAGACCAAGTGCAAGCCCAACCGAGATGCCAATAACCACCAAATCACTTCTATTCACCATTTTGATATCATTTTGCAAACCATAAGGGAATTGAATCCAAAAATGGAATCTTTTGTTTCAGAAAAACCGTTCCTGCAAAAATTTTACAAGCAAGGTTTTGCATCATGAAGCATTATACACATTATTACTAGACATACAATTCAAACTCCATCAAGACAATCATCTAGACATTATACTACATGTTCGGTAAACTAGCTAACAAAGGTGAAAACATGGGTGAAACACTAAACGAAACAACTCGGTGATTTATACAAGAGACAGGAACAAGCAACAAAAACATTTTCACACATGACAGACTCCATAACTCCACTGACAAGCATAAGATCATCACTGAATTAACTCAATAACAAAAGCTTCTCAGTGGTTCTCAGAAACTGATTGTTTGCTACTTCAAAAAGCAGGAATGAGCATCAAAGATTCAATTTTTGTTCTTCAAAATCTAAGTGATGGTCTCTTATGATATAAACATAATTGGGTCGAGATCTCCATGATAAACCAAAGATCCCACCTTTGGTTTTCCCGACGATACCCTAGAGCTAACACGCAACCAGTGAAAATCAGAGATTGTTTTAGTTTCACAGATTCACAGCCCAAAATCACCATTTGCTCACTTAAACTCAACAAAGCTAAGAACTTTCTATTATACTCCCAACTAATCAAGATAGAAACCAAGTGGGTTCGATCAAAATCTCGAAATAAGAAAGAAAAACAAAACCCCAGAAGCCTTTTTACCAACCAAGAGAATTGCAAAATCAAAATCCTAGGAGCAGCAAAAAGCCATTGAACATTCTTAACACTTTACCTAGCCAGAAGAAAGCGTAAGCAAAGATCTAGGGTTTTGATCTTTTAGTGTTGTCTTCTTCTTCTTCTTCTTCTTCCTCCGCTTTGAAACAAAGTCAATCTACATGGAGGACCTCGTCCATAAAGCAGTGTTCTAAAAAGCGGTCTAGGCGGTCGCCTAGGCCCCGACTAGGCGCTAGGCTCTCATGCGACGCCTAGATAACCGCCTTGACCGCCTAAAATTACACAGATCTTGTTTAATGTATTTTTTCAATTTCAATTAGAGTTTTATTTATATATATAGTTATAAATATTCATATATTGTTTAATATAAATATAAATAAATATTTTATCTAATTTTTAGTTATAATTTCATAATTTTTAGTTTTATATAGATATTTTATATAACTTTTATATATAATATCATATTGATAATGTTTTATGTTATAAACGTCTAAACCGCCTAAAAAATCGTTTAGGCCCCGATTAGACGTTCTAGGCGCTAGGCACTGGGTCACCGCCCGCTTAGCGCCTAGCGCTTTCTTGAACACTGCCATAAAGTAAACTGATGAACAAAGGAACAGAGCAAACTCCAACATTTTTTTTTTTTCCTTTTTCTTTTTTTCTTCAGAAAGAATATTTGTTGGTTTCGTTTATTTAATCATTTTATTCTGAAAATGATATTGTTATTATTATTTTCTGGTAGGCTTAATACTTTATAGCATTATAAAATTTAACCCATATACATTGGGCTATATTACTAACTAGAATTTAACCCGCGGTACACCGCGTGGCTATATTTTTTTAAAAAATATAATGTTATTTTTTAAATTTTAACTAAAGATATATCATATTAATTTGTATTTTTAAATGTAGATATATATCTATGTATTATCTAGTGTATGATTACTATTGTTTAGGTTTCAATTTTTAAAGTATAGATACGAAAACATACATTTTTTTTAAGTAACGATGTATGGTGGATTTTAAAATTTTGAATATTTGACTCCGAAGTATACCGTGGGTCGGTTTTTTAATAACTAAAAATTTTAAGTTGTATTTGTTTTGTTAATATTGTTTCTTTTGTTTTGTGTTTAAGATTGTATAATTGTATTTTGATTGTTAATTTTAGGATTTCATACTTAATATACCGTTATTAATATCGACCCAAACCCGTCATTCCATATAAACCCGTCTATATTATCCCATTAGCTAAATTATTAGTGTTATAAAATCCAAGAAAATAAATTATTATTGTAATAAAATCCAATAATTTTAGGATCTCACCCGTAGTATACCGTTCTTTGAATGATTTTAAATTTATATTACTAATATATATTTTAAATTTATCATATAAAATATATTTTTTCAGGTTTTTGTGTTTTTATTTTATTTAAATAAAGCAACGGCTTAAATGATGACATATATAGTTTTTTTCTTGTATGTGTATATAATTTTTCTATGTGAATATTTTGATTATTATAAATTAGTATTTTTATTACTATGCAAAATGTTAATATAAATATTTGCTATAAATTTTTTTTGAAGATATATGGAAAGATTGTGTAGAGATTTTTAAAAACAAATTAGGCAAGATATTGTTTGGTTCATATCTTTTATTTAAATTTTGTAAAAGTAAATAATAAATGCCAATGGCATTCTTTGTAAATACATTCCAACTCCAGGATTTATTTGCTAAAAGTCATCCAAAAATGTATATATAGATTATCTCACATTCACATGTTATCATCCTTTACGAAAAACATAGTGTGTCCTAATAAGATTAATTCACATTTCATCCCTATTGTTGTGTAGTTCAAAATTTGATATTTTAAGCTCTCTTGCATAGTTGTTTAACTAAAATATATTTTTGATACGAAATGAGAGTTATTGCTAAACATATTAAGTAAAACAGCTAACTATATGAATTATAATATTAATATATATTACTTTTTTTTATTTAGGTGAATGATTTGAACTTTAGAAGCATGACCCAAAGGCATACAATGAAGAAAAAAATTGTACTTCAAGTTGGTGTGCAAAATAATTGAGTTATCTTACTCAATATAGTTCACAATTGATGTCATGATGACTTGACCAAATCCAGCTTGGTTTGCTTCTTTTTTTTCTCTTCAAATATAGGGAAAAATATATGTCCACATTTTATTTCCAAAAAAGTTAGAGAAATGTCTTTTTTTCTTCTTCTTAACAAACATATTTCGTGGGAAATGTAATTCAAAGTAAGGCTACTTCAATGACAAAGACTTTTATTTTCCAATCTATATAAAAAAATACAAGCGGTGGATAATATAATGTTTATATAAAAATATAAGTCGAATATACTTATTTCAAAACTTTTAATTATCTCCATAGCAGTGAGAACTATTTTTGAAAAACTCAAAGACAATATTAATAAAGTTTTTATATAAGTAAACATACTAATATTCAGCATTACATGATACGTCCATTTTATGATTTTAACAAACTTATTAAACTACTAATTGAAGGAACAATAAAACAAGAAGGGGGTCAATTAGTGACCAGTATTAATAGGCACGCCATTGTGAACTGGAGTTCTTTTCCTCGGCTTTACCGGTGAAGGATATTCGTGCTGCATCAGATGATCAACCTCTCTCTCTAAATCTGTCGATATTGAATCTTCCAACGATCTCGCTACATTTTTTGTTTCAATCGGTTCCAGAGCTATTAACTGCAAAATATAGAACAAAACGAAGAAGATTGCTTAATATTGAGAAGAAGATATTGATGATGATTCATTTTAAAAGTGTTGCCAATCTGGATAAGCTGAATCAACGTTGATTCTTTGACAAATAACTGAATCCTAAAAACAAAATAATCAAACATAAAACCAAATTTTAATTTAATTCGAACTAATATGTGTCATTAGTTACCTTCCGTGCTATCAAGAGATCTCCATTTTTCGACCCGCCTACATTTATAAATATAATTATCAAGACTACAATAAGTCTTAAAATAAAAACTGTAACTCATTAACATATTTTAAATTTTATCGATCTTGTGCGAATGCAACAATAACATACCTACAAAGAGTCGTTTAGTTGCTGTAAATAAAAATGTATATCTTTGTGAACATTACATATATGCATGTACGAAGAGAAAGAAAGATATATTCAAGGATATTAGAATCATGCAAGTAATCAATCTATGTATATGCATCATCAGATAATCAACATCATATGACCATCAAAAGAATGAGTAGCTAGATTCAAACCTCGAGGCCCTTGAAGAAGATAAATGAGAAAGAAAAACCCTAAAACGAGGGTCATTAACTTCAAAATTGTCTTCTTCATATTATATCTTTGGTCGTTTGTACTTAAAAGTACTTGCGTTTGCTTTCGTAAAGTATATATCAGTTCTTCAACACTTGACGTTGATGCTCGATATTATACAAATAGTATAAGGATGTTATAGATTTTGTGGAAACAAGAGGCTAGCTAGGGTTTTCCGACAAAAAGATACCTCTCCTTGGTAATGGCAAAGGAGGTTTATCAATTAGAGAGATTTTATTGAGGAACTAAAATCATCATCTATATTCCAGATAATTGTTTTGAAAAACTGGAGACATTTTTTCACGATTATGAAAATGCTTTATTTATTTATTTCGAATCGACTCTTGTTCACTGGCAATGATTATTTGTAGTCAGTAAACATATTTTCTTGAAATATTTTAGGGTTAATTATAAAATTTGATGCTATATATCCTAATGAAAAGCTTAGTTTGCTTGATTGAAAACTAATAATTAACATTGGTTGCTTAGGGTTTCTAAATAAGTCTGATATTTTTTTTTTGTATTTTACCCAAAAAAAGATCCCTTGACCATCGATTTGCTAAATGATATGCTTTGTTGGACCATTTCTAATGAAATCTATTATTTTAGTGACATCGAAATTGATATATTCTTTTTGAGACACGAGGACGAGTTCTCCGATCCTGGTCCGTTCCTTGAAAACCTTCACAAATTTAATACCTTTGTCAAAAAAAAAACTCCTACTATGCATTTAACTAACGTTTTCAAGATACTCTAGCTGTTAATGTTCGTATATAAGTATAAACTAATGAAACATATATGGATCATGGAAATCAACTAAACCCAAGGACTCAGCCCTCAAATTAGGGCCCATTACACTAGTTGTATCCATCCGGTTATCATAAACTATAAACCGGTTCAGACACATTTGAAAAACCATCATTACATACATAGTAACAGAGAGTGGTAACTTATATTATTATCAGAATTCTTCAGAAGCTATGTGCAAAACCATCAATGACTAGTAAAGTAAACAGATCTACAAAATAAGGAGGTTTAGAGGTTGGCTTTTTCTAAAAGCTGTCTCTAGAAAAAGAAGAAGAAAAGAGTAAGAAAATAAAAGCAGCAGTAAATGAGAAAAAGAAAAAACCAAATCTTTTAGAACAGTAACAGTTAACCACTACACTCCATGAGATCATTTACCACGACCAGTTCCTCTGAACCAAACACGGTCTCTTATGTCACGTAACCATGTCTCTTTCTATATCACCATAAAGATATGTAGTAGAGTTGTTTTCTTCATAAGCTTATCTTAAGAGCTCAAGACAGAGAAAGAGAAAGAGATAAAGATAGTAACCAAGCATGAAGAGTTTGTTGATTTGTGTTGTGTTGTTAGAGCTTGTCTGGTTTGGCAATGGACAATCTAGAGATCATCAACCTCTTGCTCCAGCTTTCTTTGTCTTTGGAGATTCTTTAGTTGATAGTGGAAACAACAATTACATTCCAACTCTCGCACGAGCTAATTATTTCCCTTATGGAATTGATTTTGGCTTCCCCACTGGCCGTTTCTGCAATGGCCGTACAGTTGTTGATTATGGAGGTATAGCTAAAAGACTAATGATCATAATATTGGTTTCACAACTTTTAACTAACTTTCTCACATTATAATGTAGCAACGTACCTCGGCTTGCCATTGGTGCCACCATACTTATCTCCTTTATCCATTGGGCAAAACGCCTTTAGAGGGGTTAACTATGCATCTGCAGCAGCTGGGATTTTAGATGAAACCGGTCGACATTATGTGAGGATCAAGAAACTAAACTTCATACAAAATAAAGATCTTAAAACCTTTTCTTCTTCTTAGAGATAGGTTCATTTACCTCTGTTTTTCCAGGGAGCAAGAACTACATTTAATGGACAGATATCGCAGTTTGAGATTACAATCGAGTTACGTCTCCGACGTTTCTTTCAAAACCCTGCAGATCTGAGCAAGTATCTTGCAAAATCGATAATTGGGATCAATATAGGAAGCAATGATTACATCAACAACTACCTTATGCCTGAGAGATACTCCACCAGCCAAATCTACAGTGGAGAAGACTATGCAGATCTCCTGATCAAGACTCTCTCAGCTCAAATATCAGTAAATCAATGATCTTTTATAACTCTCCCATAATCTCATACTACAAAATTCACACTAGTGATGCAGATTTTCATCTCATACTCAAAGTGTAAAGTGTGTTCTTTTACAAACATTTTGCAGAGACTATACAACTTAGGCGCACGAAAAATGGTGTTAGCTGGGTCAGGACCATTAGGTTGCATACCGAGTCAATTATCTATGGTAAGCGGCAACAACAACAGCGGGTGCGTAACAAAGATCAACAATATGGTCTCAATGTTCAATAGCCGACTGAAAGATCTAGCAAATACTCTCAACACAACTCTTCCAGGATCTTTCTTTGTCTATCAAAACGTCTTTGATCTATTTCATGATATGGTTGTGAATCCCTCTAGATATGGTAAACTGACCTCAATCCTTATTTATTTAATAAGGGGTTTACTATTATGTCTATATAATAGTACTGAGTTTTAGTTCTTCTTTTTTGCAGGTCTTGTAGTATCAAACGAAGCGTGTTGCGGTAACGGGAGATATGGAGGAGCCTTAACATGCCTTCCATTGCAGCAACCGTGCTTGGACAGGAATCAATATGTCTTTTGGGATGCATTTCATCCAACAGAAACTGCCAACAAAATCATAGCTCACAATACCTTCAGCAAGTCTGCAAACTACTCCTACCCTATCAGTGTCTATGAATTGGCTAAACTGTAGAGATATGTGTCTCAAAGCTAGATTTCCTTGGTTTTCTAGTTTCTAATTAGTTAGAAGACATTAAGTATGGGATTTGTATCTAACAATTGCCCAAATCTTTAAGATCACATCTATGTTCCAATGTTATAAGTTAAACTTTTCTCTTTCTCACAAGTGTTAGCCAACAAGAAATTCTTGAACTAGCAGTCATTATTTGCAAAGTGAAGCTTAAATTTACGATGTAAGAAAAAAAAAATTCAGCGTAGGAAACTAAAATAAAGTGTATATATATTTCATATCTCTGACATGGATATAGAGAAAGTTTTCATATCCAGTGAATGCTAATTTACAGAATGCTAGAAACAAGTTTATCTTACAGTTTTTCTCCCCGATACTGTTAATCATTGATGAAGCATATCATTGCTGACGAGGTCTTCATTAACACTGAAGGTACACACCAAAGGCTTTTCGATTTCATATCTCTGACATGTTTTGCTAGCGAACTTGTAAGTTTTCAAGAATGTTGTGAGACAAACGATTACTTCTTGTTCAGTGGACAGATGCATCAAATCTTGGCTCATAAAAGCACACTTGGCTGTTGCATGACTGAAGAGCACAACCGGAAATCCAAGACCATATCTTCTTATCCACATTGTATAGAAGACCTTTTCCTTGATTCCAAGATGTAAAGCAGATCAAATTATCTTGTCCAAAACACTCAAACCTCTCAGCCGAAAGTCTCAGAAGTGCTCGGAAGTACTTTGGTGGCATTCTACTTATCTCTACCCAAGAAACCTTTGTGTGATCAAGCTCCCATATCCTCATGCTTTGGAGGGTACTATAGAGGCCAATCCTTCCTACGAGAAACAATCTCTTCTGAGTTCCAGCAACTAAGTAACCATCCAATAAAGATCTCGGGAATTTAGCTGGAATGTGTTCCCATTGTCCTGTATCAAGCCGATACATCATCAACCCAAGAGGCGAGAGAGTCTCTAGATATAACCGGGAATCACAATAAGCCATTTTCGAAGAGCATAAGTTCACCGCAGGCATTATCTGATGTAAGGACCATTTATCAGTTTTGGAATCATACACTTCGGTAGGAACTGACTTATCACCATAAATATCACTTGTGGCTATAACTTTGAACGATTTGTCTGAGCGATCTACGACCATAATCAATTGCCTTTGTTGGTTGTAGTGCATACTAGGTAGAGTCCTCCAACTCTGCATCAGAGGATTGCATACTAAAGTTCTGAAAGTTAGACCATCCATACCCGAAAAGCAAACGAGACCACCTGAAGAACCAACCAACCAAAAAGCCCATGGAGGCAAAAACGTGAATGGAATTTTGTACCATGTCTTCAATGGCAAACTAAAAACCGAGCATTGCGGAATCTGCGGTGAGTTCTTCCAAAAAGTGAGAAGACAAGGTCCGTGAGATGACACATTTGAGTGAAACTTGAGAAAACTATTATCCTGAAGAATCAAGTTCCATTTTTTACAAACAGACCGGATTCGAAATATCATAAACGGTGGAACCCTAGCTAAAATCTCGTTGAGCAAATCCTCTGGAAGCATTGCCCATATACCATCCTCCATCTGCACATCAGCAACAACTGGCTTACCAAATGAAGCTACTGTTTCTTCCTCTAAACCACGAGGCTTCGTCTTAACCACTTTCTGCCTAGAAGGACTCGTGTTTCTCGACCCAACTCGACCTAAAGGACTAGTATTTCTCGACCCAGAACCCCTCAATGGTGAAACTTGCTTCGATGAAGTACTACTACTACTATCTTCGTCTCCATTCTTAGCAGATGCAGAGCAAGCCACCGAATTTCCAGAATCCAATGACTTTTCCACATTACCCATTAGCAATCCCCAAAATCCCAAACGCTCCATTCAAACTCAAATCCAAACCATTAGCTATATAACCTCAAGATGACTTAGATCCCCAAAACCCAAGGAAGATCTCTCGATCATCGACCAAACAGAAGTATCAGATCCTCGAACAAAAAACCCAGCAGAAGAACAACAAAGTGACCACAAAGGAACTCAAAACTCAGGTAGAAATCAATCGGAAGCTACGCAATCAGCTAGCCTGGAGTTAGAGCAAAGATTCTAACTTTGGATCAGTAACTAGTAATTTACCTCAAGATATTATGCAACAAGCTTCTTCCTTTAGGAATCCGATGACATACATAAATTTTGCCAGCTGGGTTTTTCTCGAGAGCTACGCGAAGAGAGAGAGAGAGACCTAATACATTTTCTCTGTAGCTTCAGTTCCGAGAAAGGAAACAAATTGGGCTTGTTACTTCTCAGACAAAAGTTAAGGGGTTAAATTGTAATATATTAAAACTATAGGTGGAAGATATCAAATTCGGTGCGAATAATCAGGTGTGGGTTATCGTAAGTGAAGCCCAACTAGCACCCAACCACTAATCGACACGTACCAGAAAATAAGATTTTTTAGTCCAAATTAGTTTACAAATTATAGATGATTATAATTAGTATTTAATCCAATTGATATTGTTGACCAAAAAAACAAAATCCAAGTGGTATTATTCATAGAAAAATCCAAATCTTATATTAGAATGTATGTTAATTATATTCGGCATAGTAATTGGGTTCCACCTTTTTTTTTTGGTGATTATAATTGGGTTCCACTAAAAAGTTGTATGAAACGGTCAAAATAATAGAAGAAAAAAAAAATTAATTTTTAATTTATATTTAACAAATTGGGCTCCATAAATTCCTCAAGCCTTTTTGCATAGTAAAGAGACTTTGGGCCGTGTAAGAGGGCCTAAATCAGATATTTTCCGGGTCGGGTAAGATCCTCCGATCCGGGTCGAATTTAGGGTAGATATTTTTAATTTATTTTAATTGGTTAATTAACAAAAGTATGTGAGAAGTGAGAACAGAGACAACCCCCCCCAAAAAAAAAAAAAAACAGAGGCTTAAGAAAGCAAGGGTTTTTAAGAGAGGGTTTAAGGCGGCTTCGTCGTGTACTCTTCACTCACCATTTGTTTTTTATTTCCTTCAGTCTATGAAACTTTTCCCAATTTGCCAGTTTTCTTGCTCATGCGATCGAATTTACTCAAGCTCGTGTCAGGTTTTGTTCTGGTTTATCGATTTTACTCAATTTTTAAGTTCGATTGATGTCCAGTGCTCAAACCCCATTGTTCTTGGCAAATCAGACTAAGGTATTCGATCACTTGATTCCATTGCATAAACCCTTTCTTTCTTCTCCGAACCCAGTTTCCCAATCCTTCCCTATGTGGAGAAACATTGCTAAACAAGCAATTTTGAGGTCAGCTACTAGATCAAACGTCGGTTCCAAAACTCGTGGCTTTCTTGGGTCTTCTCCGGAGTCCAAAAATTTGAGCTTTCGGTTTCCGGTGTTCGGTTCCATCTCGGGATCGCCATGTTACGAAATGGGTTTTCGTAGTTTAAGTGGGATCACGAGGCGAGATGAATTTTCCAAGAGCGAGAGGTGCCTTAATGGGACTTTGGCTAGAGGGTACGCCAGTGTAGCCGAAGAGGTCTTATCAACAGATGTTGAGGAAGAGCCTGAGGTACATGAATTGTTGAAGGAGATGAAGAAAGAGAAGAAGAGAGAGAGTCATCGTTCGTGGAGGATGAAGAAGCAAGAACAATTTGGAATGGGTCGTACCAAGTTTCAGAATTTATGGAGAAGACAAGTTAAGATCGAGACTGAAGAATGGGAAAGAGCTGCTGCAGAGTACATGGAGCTTTTGACGGATATGTGTGAGCAAAAGCTTGCCCCTAATCTGCCTTATGTGAAGTCGTTGTTTCTGGGTTGGTTCGAACCATTACGAGATGCAATTGCTAAAGACCAGGAATTGTATAGATTAGGGAAGAGCAAAGCAACTTATGCACATTACCTTGATCAGTTGCCTGCCGACAAGATATCTGTTATTACAATGCACAAGTTGATGGGGCATTTGATGACTGGTGGTGATAACGGTTGTGTTAAGGTTGTTCATGCTGCGTGTACAGTAGGCGATGCCATTGAACAAGAGGTTGGGTAGCTTGATCTTTCTCTGGTTTCTACTTTGTTTATGTCATATCACCTGCCGGTAGTTTTCTTGGTTTGCCGGTATAGTGGGAAATTTGAGATCTTAAAGCTGTTTTCACTCATGAGTGAACCTGAACGTTTGACAGTTAAACTCTATGTATCCCATAGCTGGATACTGGAGGTGTGAGCCTGAACTTAAAGCAAAAAACGATTACTTTAATATTTAGGACATGATATTGATAAAATATTCACTATTTGTGAATGGAACTCCTTCATTTCAGCATGTTACAGTTGTAATTAAGCATAAAAAAAAACCTTATATGGAGGTGTGAAGTATTATTTTCTCTTGTATTAGGCCTTTAGGGTTCTTTGCTTGTCTTGATCTGCTCTAGGGTGTTTTGGATTCTTGTATTCTAATGGTGTTGTTTTTTCTCTTTGTGAATTGATAGATAAGAATATGCACATTCTTGGATAAGACCAGGAAGAAAAAAGGGGATGAAAATGAGGAGAGCGGGGAAGTTGAAAATGGAACTTCTATGAAGGAACAAGATAAGTTAAGAAAAAAGGTCAATGAGTTGATAAAGAAACAGAAGTTGTCAGCAGTTAGAAAGATCTTGCAGTCTCATGACTACACAAAACCATGGATCGCAGATGTTAGGGCTAAGGTGTGTATATGCTTTGGCTGCAAAATTGCTGGAGAGGTAAAGAAAGATTATGGTGGCTGCATAAGTTGCTAACATTTTGATATTTTCTAATTTATATCCCAGGTTGGAAGTCGTCTAATAGAGTTGCTCGTAAGAACAGCTTATATACAGTCTCCAGCTGATCAGCAGGATAATGATCTGCCTGATGTCCGACCTGCATTTGTGCATACCTTCAGGATAGCGCAAGGAAGCATGTGAGGAATTTCGGTCTATGATTTTCAAGTAGGCTTATCTTCTTGTCCTGAATGTCATAGGCTCATATTCCAGCCTTTCTTGTACAACAGGAATTCTGGGAGAAAATATGGTGTAATCGAGTGTGACCCTTTGGTCCGAAAAGGCTTGGAAAAAAGTGTAGGTGATCTATTCGCGTTTGGTTTGTTATCAGACTAAATTTGGCCCGAAATCAACAAAAATAATGTTGACTCTTTTTCAGAACTCGGAGTCATTTATTATGGTCATTTTGTTGAATGTTATATCTAAAGAGGGTTTGACTTGGGTAGCGCCTGTAAATTGGTTTGAATATATCTGGGATTTGAAGACTAAGGTATAACTGAGATATCTAATCTATATATTGTAGGAAGTGTGAATGTCGCTTTTTTCTTTGTTGTGCAGGGGAGATATGCAGTGATACCATACATGCCAATGCTGGTTCCTCCTCTCAAATGGTCGGGGTAAATGAGCTTTCTTTGCTGTATGCTTACCCCAAATGATGAAATAATTGCATTGCATGGTATCTCAAACATAAATTCCAAAATGAATTCAGTATGATAAAAGTTATAATGTACATTATTTTGTGACCAGCACTAGTTACTCGGAGAAGACAGAAACCTTAAAGCTTATCTATCTAAGTTTAAGAAAAAGGAAACTTAGATTTGTATAGCTTCGAGAACTGTCAACATTTCTTCATAAGAAGCTTGGAAGACTTTACCTTTGGTGAAAGTTATGCAAGTCATTTCACTTTTATTTTGTGTTTCGCAGATACGACAAAGGTGCTTACTTGTTCTTAGCATCTTATATAATGAAAACTCATGGATCCAAACAACAAAGAGAGGCACTTAAGAGCGCACCTAAAGGACAACTACTACCAGTCTTTGAGGTCAGAGATTACTGTTTCTTCATGTGCGTTATGTGGGAATCAGTTACAGTTTTAATTTTTGTAAATATATTATGGACATTTGTTAGGCCCTGGATACGCTTGGAAGTACTAAATGGAGGGTAAATAAGCGAGTCTTAACGGTTGTAGATAGGATATGGAGCAGTGGCGGATGTACTGCTGATCTGGTGGATCGCAGCGATGTGAGTTACTCCATGTGTTACTTTTATCTTATAATGGTTACTGTTTTTCATGTGTACAATAGTTTGACATTAGTTATTGTTAGTGCAGACATATTTTCTATCACGAGGCCTCTTTAATTCTTTAATTTCAAACTGCAGGTTCCTTTACCAGAAAAGCCTGATACTGAAGATGAGGGCATTCTTAAGAAATGGAAGTGGGAAGTCAAATCTGCTAAAAAGGTGAACAGCGAGAGACATTCTCAGCGCTGTGACACAGAACTCAAGCTTTCGGTGAGCTTTATCCCCCTTGTTATCAAAGTAATGTGCCGGTTTGAGAGTTCTATTCATAACTGTTTAAATGTGAGCAGGTAGCACGGAAAATGAAAGATGAGGAAGCTTTTTACTATCCCCACAATATGGACTTCCGGGGACGTGCATATCCCATGCCCCCACACTTAAATCATCTTGGCTCTGATTTGTGTCGGGGTGTTTTGGAGTTTGCTGAGGGAAGGCCTCTGGGAATTTCAGGCTTACGCTGGCTGAAGATACACTTAGCAAACTTGTATGCTGGTGGTGTAGATAAGTTATCACTTGATGGACGGCTAGCTTTCACTGAAAATCACTTGGAAGACATATTTGATTCGGCAGACAGACCACTTGAAGGAAGCAGATGGTGGCTACAGGCTGAAGACCCATTTCAGTGCTTGGCTGTCTGCATAAATCTGACTGAAGCTCTGAGAAGCCCATCCCCAGAGACAGTTCTGTCACATATTCCTATACATCAGGTACTTTCTGGCAGAAGTTGCCACTTTGACATCTCCTCCTTAAGGCTTGAAATTTTTTAATGATTTTACGTTGTAGTTTTTCATTCAATCTCTGTGTTTCTTCAAATGAACTTCCCTTCCTTCACTTTGGTTCTGGTCAGGATGGTTCCTGCAATGGTTTGCAGCATTATGCCGCTCTTGGGAGAGACACAGTAATTCTCTTGTTTTTAATCTTCTATGTTTTTTGTTGGCTGCTTGTCATCTTTCTTTTCTGATTATGGTTTTATAAGATGATTATCAGTTAGGAGCAGAAGCTGTTAATCTAGTTGCAGGTGAGAAGCCGGCAGATGTTTATTCAGGAATAGCTACCAGGTAAGCTTTGCATCTACTACTTAAAGCTAAGTTAAATTTAATCGAGAAAATAAATGTGCATTCAAAATTTCATATGCATATACCCTGCAGGGTTCTTGATATTATGCGCCGAGATGCAGACAGAGATCCTGAAGCTTATCCAGATGCATT